AAACTACTGATATGTAGAGAAAAACGGAAAAAAAAAAAAAAAAAAAAAGTCCGGAAAACAGGCAAAACACATGCTTTTTGTCGGGCGTGAAATTAGCAAATTTTTGTTTGCGTTCTTATAATATTATGGTTTACCGTACAACACAACGCGACGAAAGAAGTGACGTCGTAAACGACGTTAATAACGCATTTGTACGATATTTTAATTTTAAAAACGATTACGAGCAGGGAACGGATTTACGTGTACTTAAAATCTGAAAAAAAAGAGCTTAAATCGTCAAAAAAGCAATTAAAAGTATTTTTAAATAGGCCAAAGTGGTGTATCGGGTTTTAAAATCCCCCTCTCTCTAACGGTCCTATCCCTATTTAACACTATTTTCTAACACTGATGAATGATTAACACAAAGTATTTGTTTTTCTTGTATAACACGTACAATTTTATTTGAAAAAAATTACTTGTAATAATTTGTTAAAACAATATTGTTAATATATTCGAACCGTTAGAGGAGGGGTGGACTTTTAAGTTCCTCTACCGTTATCGATCTTTTAAATATTTTTCCAAGTGAGTTTTTGAGGGCTTTTTCGACATTGTTAAGCGCTTTTTTGTGGAATTTAAGTGCATGTAAATGCGTATTTTAATTATGAGTATGTGAAACATAACTATTTAACAATACTTATAGCTCTCGGTGGAAAATTAAGAATACCAAAAACTAGCACCAACAGATAACGTCCTTATCGGTTTAATAATCACGTTAGATTTAGACGTTAGATTTTTTTTTTTCATAAGAGAGTTTTAAAATCAAATTTTGACGAAAATCGTAAAAATTACGGCATTTCAAAATATTTCTTCGCTCCGAATCTTTTAACATTAGCAATGGTTTGCGTACAGATATAAATTTAAACAATTTAAGTATCCCACCTTCGCATCTTCCTACCTACAATAGCGGCTGCACACGTCCCCAGTTTAAGATCATTTTTTTTTTTTTTACATTGAAATTGTTAAAAATAATAGCAACAATAGCAACAATAATAGCATAAATTGCAACTTTTTTGCAATATAGATAAATCAGATCTAGTTAGATATGTAGCCAATATATACTAAATCATGTAAAGCATGTAAAGCGCCTTTTCTAGAAGGAAATGTTCTCTAGGCGGCACTTTGAAGAGATCTATTTTTTTAATTTTCTTTAATATTCGAGATAATGAGGAAAACCTTGTTCTTTAGGTTAAAAAAGATTGAAAGATTAAAAGTAAGATCGTCATTGGCAATCGTTTTTATTTATTTTTTGTTGTTATTAAGTTTTTATTTTTTTATTTAATCTCTTTTAAACAATCATTGTTTTCATGGAAACGTACATTGTAATCATTTTACCATAATATAACATACCTACGCACCCGTGTGCAAAGTATGTCAGTCCTATTTTTAATTTTTTTTTCAAGTAAACACTTTTTTACCAGAAAGCTTACTCCGATTATAAGGTATACCATCTGTTCTGAAAGGAAATGTTTTCTGGGTGGTACTTTAGAGAGGTCATTTTTTTGAAATTTTCATTAATATTCGAGATAATGAGAAATTCTTCGGTCAGGAACCAGGTCCTTGAGGTTAAAATAGATTGAAAGATTATAAATAAGGTTGTCATTGGCAACGTTTTTATTTATTTTTTGTTAATATTAAGTTTTTATTATTATAATTCTTTTTAAACAATCATTGTTGTCATGGAAACGCACATTGTAAACATTTTATAATAATATGATATACACCATATATTGTTGTATCGTTGACAAAGCAACGCTATTAACTGAACTCCGCTGAGAAATGTTTTTTCGTTAGCAATGGTTTATCGTTGCTTACAGATATACAATAAATTCCCGTCTGTATCATACCTTCCCAACGTCCCACCTACAACAGTGGCTGCACCCACTTGCGAAGTATGTCCTTCTTTTTTTTATTTTATACATATATATTTTAAATAGATTACCTATTCGACGTGTGCGTACGTATACTAATATGGATAACTATTTTGTCCAACCCTGGATCTCGTAGCATAATATACGAGAACCCTCTGCATCCGAGTCGGCGACGAGGAGAAAATAAAATATCACGAGCGCGTGCTCGAGGGTATAAGAAAAAAAAAAAACCAAAACAATGTTTCAACGTTATGTATTAAAGGTACCCGGCTAGTTTTTTTTTTTTTTTTTTTTTTTTGTCTTTTTCTTTTCGCTCGCTCATATAGTTCTACATTACATGTATATGACCATACATTCGTCTCGAGACCGTGACCACCGCCGTCGTCGTTTCGAACGCCTTATTGGAATACATACACACATATATACATTATATATTATAAATCTACCCAACTGATTAATGGCGACGACGATGTGTTTTCAAGGTTCCGGCCACAGTATTAAAAAAACAAATCGTATTATAGTCTGCAACGGTGCACTTTTTTCCGATGCGACCGCATGTCATACTGTTTTTTTTTTTTTTAATACCGCTGAATGTACTATGGGTATACGGTACGATATGATATTGTGTTTGAAAGACAAAGTAAAGAGAAAAACTCCCGGAAATATAAAAGACAGTCTACAGGGCGATGATGTTTCATCACGAATTGGTGATAAACTATTATTTTTGCGTATACTTATACCTATCTATACGACTAATTCCAGTGTACATTTGATTTTAGTTTTCGGCGTAGAGAAAGCATGACAAATGCTTCCTTTTTTTATTGTACACAACACTCTCCACCCAGAATTGCCGCGTGGCATTACTTCAGTCTCCCCCTGAGAATCAGATTGCGTTCCGTTATCAAGCCGTGACTGTAAATTATAATATTAAATCGTCCGGTATACAGAATTTATAATTAAAAAAAAAAAAAAAAAAAAATGTAGGAATATACTATATCCGGTATAGCAAAACCTTTAGCGTGAAATACGGCTAAAACTTATCGGTTATTCACTGTTTTTGGCTACATCCTTTAAACATGTTGAATACATGAATATTGAATACTTTGTTACTAATAAAATGTATCTTTTATTCAACGCCCGTGCTTCTGTAGTATTACCTCCTAAGAAAAAAATCTCGGCAAAAAATAATTAGAAAACAAAAAAAAACCAAGCGAAAAGCATTTTTGTATTTTTAAAACAAACGCACAGGTCTTAATCAAACTACGTGACACTCAGAATCTAAAATACCTAAAATACAGAGACGTTGATTCGAATCGAAACACATTCAAGATTCTCTTTCTGATAGCTATTTTGTTGTGTTTATTTATAAATACATAGATCTACAATAATATTATTATTTACGATTTACATACAAATATTATTTTACGAAAGGAAAAAAAACAAAACGAACGTGCCGCGGTTCGCACTTCAAATTTGAATAGTCGTTTAATTCCGAAAACGGGAATAAAAACAGGAAACTAATAAATTATGTATAATTCGTGTGTATTCGGTTTCGGGATCTGATCGGCGGTCTCGGAAACGGTCGTCGCGCATTATTTACGGCCCGCAAACGAGACACTGGCAGCGAACAAGACTTCACTTTTGCGTTCATTTCTGTTTTCGGATTCTGTTTTTTGACCATTTACGTATTACCGGTCTCCGGTACATTTGCCACGCCCTTCGCCAAATCGATTCTTACATCGATTTCGCATGTAACACGAGGCAACACGAAAACCCGAGCAAAGTTCAAGAAAGTGAATTTTTAAATACCTATATATAAATGTGTATAGACACAGGACCATTGATATTTTATCGATTCGTATGTGTTTTCGTAAAGAAATATTATGTTAATTAATCAACTGTCAACTGCTCTATTCAAAGAGAACGCATTATGGATTTACAGAACGTATGTTCAATTGGTCAATTTCGCAACACAATTTAAAGAACACTGTTGGGATATTGGGATACACTGTTGTTACTGAACCGTAGAAATATACAAAATGAAATCAATCGGCTATCCGCATAGAACCATTCCGTACTAAGAGCCTGCATAAGTTTATCCGATACTTACAGTTTTATAGTATTATCGTTAATTCAAATAATGAACATGTCAGTAGTATGAAAAGGCCGGTTCTAACTCAGGATCAGGAACAGGATCAAGGATCAGGGAGCAAGGAGCTGTACTTTGACACGGCCGCCCGAATTGTCCATCTCTTCATCGACCTATTTTGACCACGCCCACTTTTTTTTTTTCATTATCAGTTACCACTAACATTATCACCTATATGGATACGCGAAGCCGCCGCACGCCGCCGCCCCTCCCCATACCCACCGCTATACATGCACATACATACTATCANTAGGTACTCGAAAACAATAATTATCAAATATTATTTTTATTATCGTCCGCGTCTTTGAACGTCGAGTCGGTTATATAATATAATACATACCAGATGTTTTCATCGGCCGGTCGCCGAGTGTTATTGTAGCGTATGCTAGTATTAATATCTGTTTGATGATTTACCACCAGAGTCGAAAATGACGATTAGTCGTTTTCTACGTAATCAAAATAATAGCTTTACGAGTAATAATTATCTCGATTTTTATTATACTGGACCTGAATTGTATCCGTTATGGATAATATACGCGTATATACGATAAGACCTTTTGATATATGTGCTCAAAGAAGATAACACCTAACCGCAATAAAACCATTACTTGGGTTGACCGTCACCGTGAGCATTATGTATNATCTATCCGCCCGCGGGTCCCTCATCACCCGAACATCTGTGAATTATTCGATAGTTGACATTTGCCTACAGAAATTTATGTTAAAGGCGTATAATCCAATACTTAATAGTCGCCTGTAAGAACCTGTACGATCCTGCATGAGTTGGTCTCTTAGCCCCCCCCCCCAATAAATTCACACATACATTATGGATAATGAATTATAATATTTGTGGTCACANCGGTGATAATTTTCTCAAGTCTATTATTACTGGAGATGAAACTTGGGTTACACACTATACACCTGAAACTAAGAGACAGTCCGAACAGTGACGTCACACCACTTCACCCTCAACCAAAAAGTTCAAAACCACCATTTCAGCCAAAAAAATCGTGGCATTAGTGTTTTGGGACCACAAAGGCATCATTTTGATTGAATATTTACCTCACGGGGAGACCATCAACGCAGCAAGGTATTGTGAGACCCTAAAAAAATTGAGGAGAGCTATTCAAAATAAAAGGAGGGGTCTGTTAACGAGCGGAATCTGCCTGCTGCACGACAAAGCCAGACCCCACACTGCCAATGTCACGAAGCAATTGTTGGACTCATTTGGANGACCTGGCGCCTTCAGATTACCATTTGTTCACTTCCCTGAAGAAGCACATGGGTGGAAAAAAATGTTCAACTGACGAGGAAGTGAAGGGGGCGGTCGACAAGTGGACAAAGGAGATGGCGGCAGAGTTCTACGATGCAGGCATAAAAAAATTAATCTGCCGTCTCACAGCCTGCATTGAAAGAAATGGCGACTATGTAGAAAAATAGCACACAAATATATTAATGTAACCACGTTATTTTTTTTTTTTTTTAATACATTTTTTTGAAGCCTACAAAAATTGAGTACACTTACTTTCTGGACACGCCTCGTATGTATGTGTATATATTTTAATAAATTATTATTATTTTTCCAAATAATATTCTTCCTATGATAAATATTCTGTGATCACGATAGTGTACATTATTGCATACCATCATGTTTATTGGTCATTAACAATACGATTATATAACAATATTATTTTATAACGCGCAAAAGATTATACAACGGATCTGCACAGGCCCGTATAGCGACGGTCTGTAACGTCCTCCTCTCCCCCGCCCACCTACCGGGTCAAAGAATTATTTCGCGGCCGCGCGCGCGAGCTCGCGTCCTCTCCCCCGCCCATCTACCCTCCGAGAACGAAATATTATCTATTCATATATATATATATATTTATGTATCGACAGCAACGCGCAATGTGTTTCTCGCCTGCAAGTCCATGTACGAACCCGAATGAGTTGGTCTCTTCTTATAATTTTATTGACCACCTCTCCCCCGCCCATCTACCCTCTGTTATAACCAATTTTTGTCAACACAACATAATTGTTATCATACGCACACACACACACACACACACACATACACACACACACATTATGGATAATGAATTATAAAATTTGTGGTCACAGACGACCGAGCGATCACTCGTTAGTAGTAATTATTCTACAAACCCGCACACACGTATCCAGTTTTGTCTCCGATTATTTTTTTTCTCTATTATTTTTATCAGTGTTATTTTTATTTGTTCATTTTTATTCTCCATTTAAAAATGAATACGTTCGCGTGCACGTTCGCCGGTTGTGGAAAAGTTTTTGATGCAAAAAATAATTTGACCCGTCACGCTAAAACTCACGATAATATAAAAATTCAATGCGCTCTGTGTCCGAAATTATTTACGCGTAAAGATAACCTCGATATACACGTTAGAATTGTCCACGTTGGTGGAAGAGTCGCCCCACCGACTATTGCCCCGCAAGCAGGACCCTCAAATGCCGTCGCCGGGCCATTTAATATTATTCCGCAAGCCGGGTCTTCAACTTCTACAACGGCATGGACCACAGACGAGGAAAATGACACGTTATTGGCAGATGTACGTCAAGCCATCAATGATATAGAGGGATTCGACAACGAAGGTAAGATTTCTTTTATTATGGCACACCATACAGCGAGGGAATTAATTTAGGGTTTTTCTTTCTGTTTCCCTGTAGGTAGGAAACGTACGTGCAGAGAGGATACCGCCGCGAAAGTGAAAAAAACAAGGATGGACTTAGTAAATACCCCGGGATTTATAGAAATCGAATCGTCTTTTTCCCGCAAAATCGTGTGGTACTACACCAAAAATATCCGAAATATCACCACCTACAAAAAATTTCTCCTTTTAATGAAACCCGCACTAATTCTTCTTCTCAAGTCATTAACAGAAAACAATCCGATTAAATTTAATTTGAAGCTGGAAGCCACGTACTTCAAACCGCAAGTTGAAAATTCCACCGAGAATAGAGCGTTCAAGACCTCAGCCAGGGAAATTTTCTTTAATAGTGAAATAGAAGACGTCGTAGAAGAAAAATTTTCAAAATCACCAAAAGAAGAAGATATATATCAAGGACGGGGTAGCGGCTTTTCGTTACAGAGTATNGAAGCTGGAAGCCACGTACTTCAAACCGCAAGTTGAAAATTCCACCGAGAATAGAGCGTTCAAGACCTCAGCCAGGGAAATTTTCTTTGATAGTGAAATAGAAGACGTCGTAGAAGAAAAATTTGCAAAATTACTAAAAGAAGAAGATATATATCAAGGACGGGGTAGCGGCTTTTCGTTACAGAGTATCGACGGCGTTTTATTAGGTGTTTATAAATATACACCTATGGGAGGCTCTTCATATATTCCACTACCCGCAGGCATAAAACATAAACGAGCCGTAATCAATCCACAAAATACTGACGAAGAATGTTTTAAATGGGCGATTTTGGCGAAACACGTTACGGATATAAACAGAGAGCGAGTAAACGAAAAGTATAGAGAACACGAGGACAAATATAATTTTAATAATTTATATTTCCCGACACCGCTTACGGAAATTAAAAATTTTGAAAAAAATAATTCGAACGTATCCGTAAATGTTTACGGATTGAAAAAGGAAAAAAAAAACAAAAAAACTGTACATACCGTGTTTCCACTAAAAGTAGTAGACGAGGAGAAGATGGACCATTTCGATATCATATTAATTGTAGAAGAAGGCAAATTCCATTATACATACATATCAAATTTTTCCCGTCTCGTCAGTGCGCAGAAAACTGCACACGAACATGCGTTAATATTTTGCAAACGGTGCTTTACGTCTTTCGATGACAGACCTAGGATGAAATTGAACGGGCAGGCGGCGCTCGATCAACATAACAAAATATGCGGGGAGCATAAACCAATTTTGCCCGTCATGCCCGAACCCGGTTCCACATTGAAATTTGAAGCGTGGGGGAAAACTCAGAGGCACCCCATCGTCATCTATGCGGATTTCGAAGCGATATTGGAGAAGACGGACGAGAAGAAAGGAAGCAGTACTACCATTATCCATAATCATAGAGCGATGAGTTACGGGATTTATGTGAAGGCGGAAGACGACGTAACCAGAGAGTTGCTGGAAGAATTTGACATACCTACCGACCCGATTATATACAGAGGAATAGAAGACGAAGCGGAAGTGGCGAAACATTTTGTAGGACAGATTGTCGAGTTGAGTTTACGTATAGAAAAATTATTGAAGACTAATAAACCGATTATTATGACTACGGAGAATGAACATAGTCATGTTACGCGTCGGCAGTGCGATTTGTGTGACGGCGGCTTTTCAGCCGCGAACCCGAAAGTCGCCGACCACAACCACTTGTCGGGCAAATTTAGACAGACCCTTTGTAATACTTGTAATCTTAAATTGCAAGTACCTAAATTTGTCCCGTGCTACTTACACAATCTTTCAAATTATGACTCGCATTTCATCATCACGGAGCTGGGGTATGACGCGGAGACGATTTCCGTCATACCCAACAGCGAAGACAAATTTATATCGTTCTCCAAGTACGTGAGTAATACATTCACCGTACGATTTATAGATACTTTTCGTTTTATGGCATCGAGTCTCGCGTCTCTAGCATCGAACCTCGTAACGTCGGATTTCGGTAAATTCAGAGAAACTCGTAAGGTATTTAACGTCGAGGATATGCCGCTAGTATCGAGAAAAGGAGTGTACCCGTACGAGTACACTGACAGTTGGGACAAGTTGGAAGAAGACAGTTTACCGGAGAAAATATATAAAAAAAACTAATGACGTTTAAGTGGTCAATCAATGAATTTTAAAATACCAAATATAAGATAATTATATTTCTAAGGTAATTTTATTTCTGTAATGTTAAATTTAACTATACATTTTAGTTTTAAATTATATTACGAACAATAAACAGTAAATACAAACTGAGTTATAACATTATATTACTATATTGTGTTGATGAAATATGTAAAAATCAATTGGTTTACAACCAATCATATTTGTAATAAATTTGTTGTTTTTGACAAATCTTATCTGTGTTTTTCGATAACTTGAAAAACTTATTGCTGTTGTTCTTCTTGATTGGTAAGAGTTCCATTAAATGACGTCATCAATGCTATACTTACTTTTTTCAGTTGCATTATTAACCACTTTCAGAGTTTTTACTGTTTTATATCCATCTCAATAATCCGTATTATATATTTTTTGGGTGTGTTGTTAAAAAGACACTTTTAATATTAAGGTCCGTAAAAAGTTTATATGTATTATTAACAAAATTATATAGTTCCCAATTTAAAACACTATGACCCGGAATTTTTATTCTGTGTTCAAGAACATTAGCACCAATTTTGTCTAGGGCCTTCACCATTTTAATTTTAATATCATCTAAAACTCGATTGTCGAAAAAATTCTATTCCAATTAATGCATCATTAAATCATAAATGCGACATTAAGATACCTTAAATGTCCATAAAATACTTTTAATGCTAATTTATAAATACCATTACTTGTATGTTTGTACCCATTTAGATCATTCGGGAAATTTAAATCATTTAGCAGTGCACCTGAAGCATCAGTAGAAGTAAACCATACTTTTAAATAAACTCTCACTGTGAACAAAGTAAAAATGTTCCAAGTTTGATAATTCTATTTTTTTGTGGTCGAAACAAAACCATTTATATACTATAAATTATTATTTTTACCATCCATTTGGCTCGATGGCAAGGTCCGGGTTTTCGAATACCATTTTTTTCTGGAAGCTCTTCACCAAAGAAATATAAACTTAATTGCAACAATTCTTTATAATCGCCACGTGGTTGAAGCTCAGTTNGATAATTCTATTTTTTTGTGGTCGAAACAAAACCATTTGTATACTATAAATTATTATTTTTACCATCCATTTGGCTCGATGGCCATTTCGAATACCATTTTTTTCTGGAAGCTCTTCACCAAAGAAATATAAACTTAATTGCAACAATTCTTTATAATCGCCACGTGGTTGAAGCTCAGTTAATTGATTAAAGATAAATTTTAACATATTGGTTTTTATCACATTTAAATTCGGTGATAGAAATGTACTCATTAAACCATTTTCAAATGCTTTTTGATATAATATGTTGGGGTCAGAATTTTAAAATCGTTTAAATAATGCAACACCTAGTCCATTTGATGGACCCATTATACAATTAAATACTTTATCTACAAAAATTTCAAAAATATGATGCCGGCAGTCCAATTTTAACAAAACTCGTCTTAATTTGTTTAACGTTTTATAACATTATATTTTTTATACAAAATAAATAAACTCTACATTTATACTTTTTTAGTGGATATTAATATTTTTATACGTGTTCACTGTTAAGGGAATAATTTTGCCGTTAAGGATTTACGTTGCTTATAAATCTATTCGTTCCAGTTAGGGGTGTTTCTCGGTAAACTCCAAGGGGAGGGGCCAAAATATCTTGCAATAGTATTTTGCATTGTACATACATATCTCATCTTTCCCCCATTTGTGAACACGAGAATTAACATATAAACTCGGGCCAATGGGTGGGTTTGATTAATCGATCGCCCCCTACCCGGAACCACAAATAGTGTTTATACGAAATTTGAGTCCTGGAACCGTCCTTGATGGCACATAATTATCCAAAAGCTCAAAAACGTATAGTATCCATGGTTTTAATATCCACGTGTAAACTATATTTTAATTTTTGGTTTTTCGCATCGTTCATTAATCATTATCATTGTAAATAAATAAAATTGTACAATGTTGTATTTGAGTGCTAGAAGAAGCACTTTTACATTTCTGCAGTTCAGAGAATCTGATGACGATGACAGTAAAAACTTCTTTGTGTTCGATTTTAATGTCGATTTTGTCAATATTATTATAAGATAACATAAAGATTACGAACTAGCATTACTACTAAATATTATTGCAACATTATGAAAACAATAGGTACACGAATAATTCTTTAATATCCGTCATTGGTTTCAAATTGGAATTTATTTGATTCGAGTTGTTGTATATTGATCCTTTCATCATCGTCCATTACAGAAAAATATACTCCTATTGTAGTTAAATTGTTTATTTCTCTACTTATGTCAAATTTTAACAATTTGTCAATTAAATTATAAGACTACGTTATGATACTCCTGCAATTTATAGTAGTAGTAATGGCAAGTGACAGCTATAAATTGGTAACTTACAAGTTATAACTTATAACTTATTAACTACACGCGTCCGAAAAATCTGGAATATGTTTTTAACAGTTATTGATTGTCTTCCAATATTAGCTGTTAAATCAGTTCATGTCTATACTACTCAGACATAAAAATATATTGACCAATTCAGAAAACTTCTAGGACAATAATGTTATTGTAGTCTTCAAACCAATTCAAAAATTTAACATAAAACTCGTTATGTGTAAAAAAAACTTAATCGAAAATAATAATAAAAAATAATAATGAATTAATTGAGAAATAGTATGTGGAACTTTATGAAAAAATACTACGCGCACGCAAATTTAAATAATTATACACATTGCCGTGTCTAGCAAAATCAGACCCCACCAGGGCCTGAACAATTTAACGAAAAAATAAAAAAAAAGTCAGCATAATCTTTTATAGGTACTGAACATGTTCATCGGTGTTCGCTCAAACGGCTATTGTAAACATTTTCAATTATAAAACTTTCAACATTTTCATTGACGCCTCTCTAGTCACTGTTTGGCGCCCCCGGATCACAGCGCCCGGTGCATATAAATCTCTCACGCCCCCTAGGAATGACTCTTATTGTACATATAATAATAACTGTGCAGTAAAATTAATTTAGTACCGCTAATGAATTATACAAAAATATAATAATATACATAACATATTTTGTACTAAGCAACAATATTTTTACGAATAAACATAAATATAATATTATCTTTAAATAAATAGCTCGAAAATTACAAAAGAATGTTTTGAACGTTTTGCCAGATCTAGAAAAGACTAATATAAATGTTTTGTAAAAATATCAGGTCACTACGAATATTTTTTACCGAATTACAACAAAAAAACTAAATTGAGGCAATGAAACCGTATTATTTTCGTAAAAAGGAAGAAATAACGGTTTCCCTGGATTTTCTCAATTATTAACAAGAATACACGAGGAATGAAAAAAAGAATATTTTATACACCAATCAAATCAAAAATGTAACAAAAAAAGTCAATTGTCGTTTTTAGGTTTGAGTTAAATTTCTGATGGAAAACATAAATCGTCAAAATTTTAAATACTTAGTTGAAATCGCTTCGTGCCGTGAAAAATTGTCCGTTTTTCCTGTATTTTTTTTTCCGGTTTTACTCAAATATTATGAAAACCAATTGGAAATTTAAAAAAAAATCCTCTCTAGCTATTGCTAATGCTATAAATTCAAAACTCAACAAAAAAATATCTTTTAGCATTTTTTGAACAGAGAAAAATTTTTGGTAGAAAATAAAATTAAAAAAAATGTATACACCTCCCTCCGTTCAATATCTAAAACGGTGATTTATATACATTATTACATTTCAAGAAAAACGGAGAAAAGTCGATTAAAAATATTCTAAATCTGTTTTTAAAACGAACACCGGTCAGATCAATTCTTTCGATTCTTTAAACCGGAGGTCCTCTACCAGTAGTTAAAAGAGAAAAAAACCATGGAAATAAAAACGGATAAAATAAAATATTTCGAATTTTATATCACTAAATTTGCAATAAATCGTACACCGCCGAATACCGTTTACCACCTACACCTACTTTACGGCACCTAAATATTATTTTGTTTTGCTACCAGTAAAACACTTCCGCTTCCTCGGGAATTCGTGACACTACAATACGTAGATACAATCTCATCAAACATTATCTTTTGTCTTTCTATAAATATTTATCGAGGTAAACCGCGAATTTATGTGCGAATTGTGTTATATGCGTTTGCGTAAGCAGTTATTTAATTAGTTTTCTAAAGACTATTATTATAGTTTAAAAAACAAAAAAAAAAAACCCAAACAAAGGACGACCTGCATAATATTTAATTATTCATATTGCAGCTGTACGCGAGTTAATTGCGAGAAAAATATCGTGTACATTTTTCTCGCGGAAGCTTTCTGAATTTAATTTAGATAATGCATATAAAAATGCATTTTTTAACATTATTATAGATATATAATTATAGTACGACCATGTTGGCTGGTCGCGGCAGTAATATGCAGAAAGTCAAAAATGACCATGGAGTCTGAATTTACCGTCGAGGGGATTCGAAGGAGATTTGTGTGTCTCTTTATCGGCTATTCGAATCTACAGTTTTATTCCAGTCTCGGTGAAACTATAATACGTTTCTTGCTGTTTGCTTTATCTTAAAATTCAATCCATAATGGGAATTTCTGGTATTTTTCTGTTGAATTTGTTTTGTTGATTTACGGGTTATCGGCTCGGTGACACGGTTGAAAAACACCGATTATTATTATTAAATTTTATATCATCACAGACAAAAAAGTATCATTTTAGAGAACGAGGGGTAGAATGTCAAAAGTCCCATTTCTAATACATACTTGCCGCTTGCAACGAGAACTTAATATTAAATTTGTTCTATAGTGAGTATAACGAAGTGTGAAAATAAGTAAATGCGCGAAAAACAGAAATTCAAAATGCACCGCGTCTGCACTCGTACCTATTACTATATTTTTTTTTATCGGCACGATGCTATTTTTTTATTCCTATGCATCACTCGTCGTACATTTCTCCGTATTTTACGTTGGTGACCCACGCAGTTATATTATTTATTATCATTGTTGTTAAACGGAACGTACGGTATACGTGTAATTATTAAATATTCATCATCGTAGATTCGTAGACTTGTGTAATAGGTATTATTTATGACTTATTCCCCGGAAAGAGTAAAAAAAAAAAATGAAATGCGTAAACGAGTAGTCTGACGACGTGCACTACAATGTTCCGCGGTGGCTAAACGAAAATGGCCGAAATCGTTACAAACGATCGGTTAGGTTGGGAGAAAAGATCTATTGGACGAAAAGTTATCGGGATAGTTTTAGCGTCAGTATCTCAACGAGTAGACAATTCTGTTCACTGTGCGATACTTGAAAGATGTTCGAATCAGTGATTATGTATCTTATCCCTTATTTCAGAGTTTATTAAAAAATTAATTATTTATTATTTAAGGGAAAATTAAGACGTTACAGAGGTAAATTTTTCTATAATACCCAACGCGACTGAAATGTATACATCGTGTTTGTATAATATCTTAAGTATTATGCATTCTATATTTTACCTGTTTTATCTTTTGATATTTTCGTGAATATTAGTCACACTTCAAACACTATAATTGTATGCACTTTGATCTTTGAACGCATTGTCCTAAGACATAAAAATGAGTTTTACATTGTAATACGAGTCTAAATTAACAGTTGTTATCCAGATCATTTTGGATTAGACCGGATTGATTCGGATTAAGTTGTCCATCACGGGAAAATCACAGAAATCACAGGAGAACAAGAATAATAAGCTAACAACGAAATATTTTATTATAATTATTATTATTATATTTATATAAATTAGAAGACGTATATGTATATATATTTTTTTTTTTTCAAAACCCGTTCGTATACATTTATTACATCGATTATATTACAAATGATAATAATAATAAAAATTGTTTTTCGTTTTTATTTTCAAACGTGAGGTACACAAAATAATTATTGAATACTATTCGTGTACGACATGATGGAATTAAGAAGATGAAAAATAACATACAAACGAATTATGAAAATATCGATTATCGATTAAGTGTTATTTTTATAATATTGTTGTCTTATTAACGAACTCTTATCACTACGGCAATACTACAAAATACATTAATAAAACGCTTTAATCTAACTAAATAAATAGCACGTACGGTACGTATTACATTACACAGGCAATAATATATTTGCCGCGATAATATTGTGCAAAAAATTAGCTACTCAATTATAATTAATAATTATAATAGTATATTATACAAAAATTAGACTAATAATAGTAATAATAATAATTATTGTCACGCGTTCGCATAGGTAACGTTAACGGTTTTACACACAAATTTTATATTAAAAAAAAAAAAAAAAAATCTAAATAGGTAGACGGTAGGTAGTCCTTATTCAAATATATCGAAATTAATAATACGATTAGGTATGATTATAATATTTTTATCATAATTTAAATACAACCGTATGATTATTATACAAGTACGTAAAGATAATAGAAATTATAAAATTATACAACATTATTATTGTCATCAATTAACTTCGTCATCAACGCGATATTATCTAAAACTTAATATTATTGTAATATACCTACTATAACGTTAATTTCCGTTACTTATAGTTAATAATAAATATAATTATAATACAATATACGTATATTATTATGTAATCGCTATCGTCAGTTAGTTTTTTCGTAGACAATATTCGGTAAAATAATTTTCGTTTAGCAAAAAGTCTCTTAATCGATTATTAATACATTCATAAATTTATAACACACTTAATACATATGTATATATATTTTTTTTTCTTATTCACCTACGAAAAATTATTGTCGAGGTTTACATTTAGGTACCTATACAGAATTCAGAATTTGACTCGGCTGAGTCATTATACCGATATAGTAACATAGGTACCAAGCAATAACAGTAAAATACGTTTAATAATAATAATAATAATAATAATAATAATAATATTGTATTATACGTGAAAATTATTGTCACCAAAAACACAGATTTGTTTCTTATAAAATATAATAATAATAATAATATTACGCTTACAAATTAAGAACAGTAATTAATGATTTTTTATTTTTGTTTAAGGTACTCGAGTAAACGATTCAGGACGTTTTTAAAAGACGTCTGATCGTATCGTTGTTTTAGAAATGCACAACAGTTGTAAAGGTAGGCTACAGTTGCGAATACGAGCGGCGGGAGGGGGGGCGTTCAAGTCCCCTACGAATTGTACACTATCCCTTTAGTTGTAGCTATTTAAATTTTAAATAATAAACACGAATTGCACCGATATAAATGGCAAACGCGATGGGTATTTTTCGCGAAACCGATTTTGACATGAAAATAATGTCAATATCGAGAAACGTGAGAATCAGCGTTCATTATTCACGTCTGTATGATGCGTATTAGTGCGTTATGGTGCGTTGTTGCAACACTACTCAATACGATCGTTTCTCTCGGTACCTTTCAACCGTGAAATTAACAACTTATAAACTATATATTACTAAACATTTTTACTTAAATCGAATAAAATTTATTATAATTATAATATACATATACATATATATGTATATTGCGTAATAGCTAATATTTTATGGTACACGTTACAAAACGTATAAAACACGTTATAAACGTTCGACGCCGTCCTCTCGTCAAAAACAAATAACAATGTAACGCGAAACGAATGGAGTTATTATTCAAATGTAATTAAAACGATTGTCCGTAGGTTAAATAATATCGCAGTCCCGCACGGCTGTATATTTTAGTTTTGAACTCTACCCGGTAGTCTATTAAAAAGGCGCGAACGGCGGTTAGAGCGTGGGCGGACGGAGGAGCACGGAGCTCTCCCCTTCTTAATTGAGGTAAAATTATCATGTTTGGATGCTGTATTGTCACTGAAAGATTTTTAATGAGATTTTAAACACTACGGTTAAAAATAAATTCTTAAATATCGATTGGACCTGTACGTGTTCAAACCTCTCTTTAAATTTAATTTTTACCGAGCAGGAATAAGCGCGGGTAGGGTAATATCTGAGGAAGCGGTACGGTTTATTTTTAAACGCAATTAGTATGACATTTTTACGGACTAATGTGCGCGAGAGAAAAACATTTTGAAAGTATTGTCTTCACGATGGGTTTCCCGAAAGTCCCGTTACGTTTTTCGTACGTTTTCGGCGACGCCCCTCGATCTTTGGTAAATGTACCTATATAGTCCCCAGTTTAACCGCCGGTTACGTTATTTCGTCTATTTACACGGTTTTACTAGCGGAACACGTCGGTGAGACGTTCTTATCTATATAAATTTCAATATAAAATAAACGTACGGGTTTTTATTTTTTCAGTTTGAAAATCGGATCGTTTTCCACAGCGGAGTTTCGGGTTATACGGTTTGCGACGGCTACGAGTATGGGCATAGACTACGGGAAGATCGATAATGACAATACGGGGGTGTAGAAAACAAAAAAATAATAAAATATATTAACAATAACCAACAGGCCAATAGTACCCACTCGTATATGCGTATAATAATAATGTAGTAGGTGTACATTGTGTATATTGTGTAATAACATCGGACTAGACAAATAGACACGGGAACACAAGCGCACACGTTAGGTTTGACGAGAGAGAGAGACGTAAATATTATTTCCATATTATTATAATATAGGCTTAACGATAATTAGGTACATTATATATGACGTCATATATGTATATATATATATTCTAACAAGTATAATTATTTGTTAAAACGAACACAACCAACGAAAAAAACCGTAGGTAGAAAAAAAAAACGATTTTAATATTATATTAAAAATAATCATCAATTATCAGTATATAATAATATTATTGTTGTGTTTTATTGTCAATAGGTAAAATATTGTCGATATCGTTAAAATACTTATATTAGATTATTATATTATTCGTCTTAAAACTAGAAAATATTATTGTCATCGTGTTTACCAACATTCGGTGAAAAATTATAAAAAAAAAAAAGAAAAAAAAGAAAAAAAAGTCGCGCGGGCGATCTCCGTTATAGTATTACACAGAGTTCGAAAGGTTTCCCCCGGGTAATTTTTAAAAATTTTTTTTTAGTGGTATTTTCACTGTTTCATTATCGTTACGTTGAGCAATAATATATTATAATATAATAAAAAGGTTTGAACGGACGCGCTATCCGAACGAAAATGATCATATTATAATTTTGTAAGTTATATCGGTATCATAGTATTATAATAGGTATATAATGTTATTTTTTAGACGTTTAAACGCGGGTTTTTCGCGGATGCATGAAATAACTGTTATAATATCTGCGAATCAGCCGATTCCGTCCAGTTTTATTGTGTATCCTTTGCCGCTATTGTTTTATGAACAAAGTGGATAAAAAACATGCCGTAGGTAGTACATAAACGGATAGGACGTATCGATCGTCGGACGATTCTGGATCGCCCGTCTCACTCACCAATAAAAGCACGGCAGCGCAACGAGAAATAATTCGCGAAAAAATAGGCGGATTCGTTAGCGAATATAAGAAATAATAAGATGCGATTCTGGTGCATTGTTAACGTTGCATTGCCATCTTATCCGGGAACGCTGTCCGCAACGCGACCGGTATGCGCGTGTCCTATCCGCCGTGTACCGTGCACGAGGGAAACGGATTTCCTCGAGTCGTCGGCACGCGGGAATATAATCGCATAATCGAGTTTTTCGGAACGACGAGGCGAGTTTTGTAGCACGTTATTAAAACGGAGACCCCGTACGAGGGAACGACGCGTTTGCAATGATAATTATTATGTATTTTCGACGTTTGCACGTAAATCGGTTTTGTCGGCGGCCGTCGGATTTTATTTCCGAACACCGGACGGAGACTATTATCGTTGTTTGCGCATAATTTTTTTCTCCGGTTTTACGTCGGATCATTTGCGCACAAATTACGAGAATTATATGAACATTTTCAACATTACTAGGTACTTAGCGTAGGCACGTGTCTGAATTATTTAATGTTCTCTTTTAATTTGAGTACTGTTTTTTTTTTCTCCATAAAATCGTTATTACGCAAATTCGCGAGTGATGCGCTCACTTTGTACAGTATAAATTACAATTTTTTTTTTTTTATTATTTGATTAGAGTAATAGATACCTTAAAAAAAAACGTTTCTGTACAATATTGTTCGTGAATCTGAACGCAAACGAGATGACTTATTGTACTGAATATTTCAAAATTCCAAAATAGTTTATAATATACGGATTAGTTGAGTTATTTTTTGCTCTAATCGGCGTAAACAAATAAAATATAGGTATTTATACTAAAATCGGAAATAGAGTTCATTTGCGCGAGAAAAATCAACCCGTTGCGTTGGCGACGCGATCCTAGAGTATTCATTTCATTTCGAAAAAAATATTATTGTCTTACGAGTGCTGAGCCAAAGATACGAGTTGAGAAATAAAGCGGTAAAAGTATAATATTATGCACAAGAAATAAATGGAGATATGGTTTATAAGATCGTCGAGAGAATGAGAAATGAGGAGATAGAAATCGAAAACAAAAGTGTATAAAGAAAAAGAGACTTCGGCGTATTTTAGGAGGGGCTAAGATATTATGAAGGCTAGTGGAACAGATAAGGATAACCGATAAGAAGACGTGAAGGGCAGGAATAAGAGTAGCTGACTTTTCCTGCAGCGTGAGGTAAGAGCGATGGGAATAAGAAGGTTTGTAAAAAAGAAAAAAATCATAAACGCACGCACTCATAGAAAATCCGCACTTTTTCAATAATTTCCCACGGCGCGGCAGTTTCTACCGGTGGCGTGCTCAGAAATTTGTGTCGGGAGGAGATATAGTAAATAACAATCATGGATCATGAATCTTCTTCTGTTAATCCAGACCGACAACGAGAATTTAAAAGCCGATTGTAAGATAAAATTTAAAAAAAATAAACCACTCATAGTTGTGGTATTTTTAAACCGTTTGGGGCTTGCACACGTCACCAGTTCTTACGCCACTGACCGAAAAAACGAATTTGTGCAAAATCGTATTGTAGTGAACGCTAATATTAAGATAATAGACGACGAGCTATAATACGTCGTATACTAGACTACACAGTCACCAGCAAACAGGTCTCTCTGAAACTGATGTGAAATCCAACTGCCACCGTCCATAATAGTTAAAGTAATTACTAGTATTACCGTATAACGTTTCGATCGGTCTTAGATATAAGTATTATTGATACCCACCGTTAAGAACAAATGGAAATAAAAATACATTTTATTATTTAAATTCATATTGGAATAAAATATTGTAAATTCCAATCATATAGTAAGTACTCCGGAAAATTTAAAATTTCAACAATCTAATAAATTGATAATTATTAATATTACTATCTTTCGTTTTTTTTTTTTTTTTCATTTATCGATGTTCGCGCGTATGGATTTGTATAGCAGATTCATTCATACACGGATTTGACAGCTGTTTAGGAGAGACCGTTTGTGGGTCACTGCAGCGGTATAACAGCTTCAACCTGTGTAATCTTAAACCGTTGTTTACCTAGTGGTTTTTAATACATATTAATACTGTTTGTCTGTTGACCGAAAAACTCCGCCGAATCACACCAATCCTTAACCAATTAGAACATTTTCAAACTATATACTAATAGGGTAGGCTACTACCCTATAATACATGTAACATTAATAATATTCTTACAATCTACTGGGTTGTAACCTTTTAACGTACGCATAATATTACATTAGAATAAATACTTAAGGTCTAGGCGGATAATCACTCTTAATCATATAGTTTACTTATTATAATGTGTAGCACACACACACATACAAAACACACACACACACACACACACACACACACACACATACATTTAAATATCTTAACAAATGATATGTTTTCGTTTTGTTCGATATTCTTAATGTCGGTTAAAATATTATATGTACGCGATTCCGTTTTTTTTCCGTCCGGGCGCCACCGTCAATAGCTGTTGCTTATTAGTTCATTACGTTCAATTAAATACAACTACGAGCAGCCGTGATGACAATACGTAATAGAAACGTTTTTAATGAAAAAAAAAAAAAATGTACCGCCGACACTTACTATACGCGAAATTTCGTTATCTTTTTAGTGTTTTTCCGCTGCCCATACGTGATTATAGGCGGAACTACGGGCTGTGCCCGGATATGAACTACCCTAGAAACTATTGAAGGCCCCTCCCTACGAAAATTCGGTACACCTACAAAAATATTATACTTTATCTGCGGTCAACTATGAAGCAATTGATCGTTCGGGGTCATTAATGTTGCTGTACAATGTGCGGGACCAGAACTAACTATTATTGGCAATAATAATGGCAGCGCTTCAGAATTTAGAACGATTGTACCCATGTTGTTACGCATTGAAAATACAGGTAAAACTTTACTAAATTATTGTGTAAACTGCGTTTACGTTTTTACCACGAACGAATGTAAGAACTCACAACCGTACGTTTCGTTTTTAGTCCATACATCGTCAACGCCTGTATGGGCACACTCTAACGTTAAACCTGGCCGTAATATTGCGATTTCAAATTATAACAACGTACTTAAACGGCGTCAGGTCGTGTGTTCGAAAACGTTTAAATTATTACATTGGTGTAAAGGTAATGTACATAGTGGTATATTCGTTGAAATAGGTTATTTTCAAGTCGAATGTGAACATTTAAATGTTTTAGAACAGAATATTGGGATATTGTTTTTTTTTTATAGGTTGATATCGAAACATCCGCATGTAAATAAATTCATAATACTTCTCCGGAAAATTCGGAACGAGAGCGAATGTTTAATTGAAAAATTATGTATTTAAAGCAGAATTATTTCCAAAAAAAAAAAATTAAGGAGTCCCGAAAACGACACGAAGAACGAATTAAAAATATAGTTTTAACATTTTAAAATAGTGATCAAAATAATATCGAGTTTTTAAAGCGCATTGCGTACAGTTTAAACTTTTGACTTGACGATGTATACATTTATGCAAATATCTTTCGACATTGAAATAATTTTTAAATTTTTAAAAAATAAGTTTCATTTTTTATTATTATTATTTTTTTCCTAAATATATTAGATTATTCGGACAACATTTCATTCGAACATATTCATTTTTTAATGTACAACCTACATGTTAGCAGCCACTTTATACGCATTCAAATGGAAACGACACAGTGTTATTAGTTGAATTTAATACAGAGGGAAAGAAACGTTGGGCGCAAATTTTTTATAGTTATATATTTCGGACCATTCGAAAATTGTACTAAAAAACGACGTCGAAGTATTGTAAAATCAATACTGGCGTATGTTTTTTTAATTCATTTTTTAATTCCCTTCCTGCCCCCGGGGCGTTATGCGATTTTTGAAATATTGTAACCGTCGACTGTGGAGTTTCGTTTTGTCGTTTTATTGCGGAAAGGGGATACAAATACAAATAATATCTGTCAACAACAAACTAACCATTATTTTTTTAACTCGATTTTTGTTTTATTTTGTTTTTTTTCTTTTTTATTCGAACCAAGCGGATTATTATTATTTGAGAGTACTGAGTTAATCTTTTTGCGCGAGCAGAAACACTATATTGTCACATATTATTACTATTATTGCTATTATTATTATCGTAGTATATAGCAGGTACTTTCAACGCTGCCATCACATCACTCTGTATATAAAAAAAAATTGCGCAGTCACGTAAAATTCTACTGTATAACCGGTAAACTTTTTGAGGAAGGTTTTGTATTATTTTTTTATTTCAAACCATTTTTCAAGGACGTTATAAATATGTTAAAGAGACATTTTGTTTTTAGATTGATGGTGAATTTTCGGCTATGTTTTGAAAGTTATTGATACATTTAAATTCGAATTTTATATTACGGGTGGCGATAACAACTTCGTATTTTATCGTCACAATGCTCGTACAAACACTGCAGTGTTCGCCCGGCGAGACATTTAACGGCGGCTGCTCTGTACGGGAAAAAAAACGGAAACGGTATCGACGGAAATATCAGAGACGCGTTTTTTTTTTTTTTTGTTTTTCAAAGACGCATGCCCGTCTCGTACAATAATATCGGTGTTGTTATAAATATTATTGTGATGTTTATAATACATGCGTACGTCGTCGCCACCGCGTCGATATAGTCCAGAACGCCGTGGAAGAGAAAATATATCACGGGAGGTTTAAATTTATTGTTTTTTTTTTTTTTTTATTTTTATCTTAGGAGTATAATAATTGGTATAAGTATAAACGAAAGTTTACGAAAACGCGGAACAGAATCGAGAATCATTATTATTATTAATATTATTGAACGATGCAGTTTAAACGGAAAAAGAAAGACGAAGATCACGCAGATGGGGAGGGGGAACGGGGTCGGGGGTCGAGAACGATTCAGAAAAATATTTTTAATTTTTTTAATTTTTTTTTTTTTCATCTTCCACGGCGTTCTAGAGGATCGTCAACGGTGACGGTGGCAGATCGGTAAGCACGACGTTGGCGCTGTCGGCGTTTACCGGACCCGCGCGACACATCATAGTAAACCAATGATCGTGAAAATCCGCCCGACCGCGTACGCCGGGAACAGTCGCAGTGTCATCATAGTCCATAACGGTAAATTGACGGCGATGATGGCGGGGGCGGCGCTCTTGTCGTCGTTGAACTTGTAACCGGGGTCGACCACGTGTATTTTCCATCCGACGTTCGGCTGCGAATAGCTCTGCGAAACAACGGCATAAATTAAACAAATCGTATTGTCATTATATTCTGTTACAAATATTAAAAATGCGAAAGTTTGTTCGGACGCATGGGCGTAGGTTCGTTACCGCGTCTCGACCAAACTGCTGAACAGATTGAGCCAAAAATGTGCATTCAGTGATATGGAGTTTTTTTTTTAGAACTCGCTAAATCAGAATTGAGAGAGGTTTATTTGATTTTATTTCTGAATCTTCGTATCTAGTTTTCAAGTCCCTATGTGTTTTAATAACATAACAATTCGATTTTATTTTACATACTCGAGCATTATCAAAACCATGACAGTAATTTCGTGAAGTCCTACGCGGTAAAACCTATTCGTTTTTTTTTTAAATCATCATTTGAAATAACATTATTGTTAATATTATATTTTGTTAATGAGAATTTATTCGGAACTTTATAGTAATGAATCATACTACAATATTTGGCAATATTATAAGTGAGGATCTGCGTGCTTTTAACTTTTACACAATCGCGGATTTTTCTTAACGGCTCTAATATCAGTACTATTATTACGGGCAATATCATAGATAATGCTGAATTCATGCTAATAGTTATGTTTACCGTGTGAAATACGCTTAATTCTATAAAATATTAACATATAGAATCAAAATTAAATGAAATACATGAAAATACGGACGGTTGGAATCATTCGGAATTATAGCGTCAGTCAACGAAGGCTTCCTATTAAAAAGAACGACATACTTCGCACGTTGGTGCGGCCTCTGTTGTAGGTAGGAAGTCGGGAAGGTAGGATACAGACGAGAATTTGTTGTATATCTATAAGCAACGATAAACCATTGCTAACGAAAAACGATTTTGAGCGGAGTTCAGATAGTATTGCTTTGTCAGCGATACAACAATATATGGTATATGTCATATTATGGTCAAATGATTACAATGCGCGTTTCCATGACAACAATGATTGTTTAAAAAAGATTAAAATAATAAAAACGTTGCCAATGACAACCTTATTTATAATTTTTAAATCTATTTAACCCAAAGAACCAGGATCCTAACCGATGTTTTCCTCATTATCTCAAATATAAATGAAAATTTCAAAAAAAAGACCTCTCTAAAGTACCACCCAGAAAACATTTCCTTTCAGAAAAGATGCTGTGCCTTATAATCGGAGTAAGCTTTCTGCTAAACAAAAGGGTTCAGATAAAGAAAAAAATAAAAAAAAATAATAATAAACACTTTTGTATAACCAATATATTTTTCGCTAAACTCAGAATCTAAAATGAAAGTGCATACATTCATCATCAATAATGAACAATAATTGTATATCTAGGTTCAATAAAACCGTAAATATTTTTATAGAATTATCAATAACAATATTTCATTTTTTTTTAATAAGTGAAAATCTAGCCAAATTATACAAAGCGCAGTCTTAATGTTAATTAAAACACGGATTGAATGCTATTTATGTGATTTAATGAAATGATTTCATTGCTATTTTACAATCATATTTTAATACAAATTTATTTTGGTTATTGACTATGATTTCTTTAGAGTTTGTACATTTTAATATCTATGAAATCGTCGTATTGTACTTATAGTTAAATCGAATTGAATTTTGAGAAACAAAAAAAAAAAGCCGTCCTCTATTATTTATTTTAAATCTATAAGGTATTCTAGTGAAATTCGTTCCATGTTTCCGCACTCTATGCGATAATCCCTAATATTATTGTTAAATCGTTTTTAATGAAGACGCCTTAAATATTGCACTTAGGCAAATCTGTGTGCACAATCGCTTGAATTGTTGTTCGCTTATCGTTTGGGTAGAATATTTTTAGAAATATACTTTTTCAAATTACTTGAAAAGAAAAGGACGGACACGATTATTCCTATTAGTGTTCAATCGAAACATTATACATTTATTTTATCATTCTTATCTGTGTAACCGATGGGAACCGGGAATTATGGAAAAAAAAAATACAATAACCACACAATTTTCGTTGTATTTTTTTTAAACGAAAACAATTTGGAATCCACACAAAAAAGTTACGAATAAAATATAAGGTCGAAAAGACGCATCTTTTAAGGTAAGTACTGGGTGAAATTTTCGGGAGCATTTTTATACTAACCGGACATTTTTTTTTTTCAATATATAGTACACGTATAATGGTTTTAAAACTCGGTTTTTCGAAAAATAATTTGTACTGTGTACCTACAGTGAGTTATAATAATAATTATTATAATGTAAATTTTGATAGAAATAATGTATTACGTTAATTAACTTTTTTTTTTTATTATTATGTTAATTATAATTTTTAGTAGGTATAAAGTTTGTTTAATATAATATGTCAAGCAAACGCATGGACTCGCATAAAGGTTTGTTTTTTTTTTTTAATTTTTAGTTAATTTAATAGTGCACACACATTGTGATTCACGGTTTTGTATATTTTATACAAGTAATATGATATAAACGAGTAAATCGAATTTATTCCCGTAATAAATCGAATAAAAAATTAATCTAATAATCTTCTTTCTTATTTTCTACTAGTATACCAACTCTCTACGTATTTTGTTTCGCCATAAAAACTTTTTAAATGAAGATCATCATTTTTCTTCCTCGAGGAAACAATGCTGTTACTGTTTTATCTGTTATTAGGCCCACCACTAACCGTCTGGGGAGCCAGAATAGTGGGAGAGACGCAGTTTCGGGTTAACCCGCAGACGTCAACCAAAAACTTAGTCGGTTAGGTTAGGTTAGGTTAACACCGGCCTGGCCGCTCCGGACTTAGTGCCCCCAAGGTTGAGAAACCTAACCCGGCTGAAACGTGGTGGCTGTGGGATTGGCGCGAGATAGTAAAGCTAATCCACTGCACCTAGTGGGCGAATCGGGAACCCATCCCGGTCACGAGAAAGGTACGGGCCTCAAAAGCCCGGGGCCGGTGTTCCCTCCGAAGACACTGGACCGGCGGTGGCTCGCCGTCGTCGCTCCAGCACCACGACCGCCCGCAAGTAGCGCCCAGCGCTAAGACGCGGACGGCTGGCGGTAGGCGTCAGCCACAAAACTTTTGGGGATCAGTTGTCCTATCTGTTTATTTTTCTCCTCTACTCGTCATTTTACTTATAATCAGGTTTGGCGAAAACCTGGAATTAATTGATAAAACTTATTGGGTTTTTTTCTCAATACATTTCTGAAAAAAATCCCAAAATTTAACATCCCCCCCCCCTAAAAAAATTTTTTTAAAGGAGAATCGTTGCCCTTAGAAATTTGTTTATTTTATTTTATTTTTTTCATTTTTTAAGTGTTTTTCCTCGTTCTGTTTCATAACTCATGACTTCTTACCTCAGCTGTTAGACTCCATATGGAATAAACTAAGACATTTTTAGTTGAGTTATGAAATGCACCTAATAAGTTAAAATCCATCAGTTTTTAAATATCAAAACTATCAAAATTGGTTAGAACTCGACAAAAATGTCCCCAACTATCAATTAACATTAACATAATGATAACAATTATTTACCTAAATTGGCTTATGTCCAGTAAAATTATTTTTTAGTCGTTTTATTGATGCCAACCCTAACCTACAACTATTTAATATTAGACCAGTCTAGGCTTTAGGTTTTATTAAACAAATGTATAGTGGGTTTAATTCGAAAACACTGCCCGGTTTTTACCGGATTTGGGCTTTTACAGGCCAATCTTGTTTATAATCATTATTATTATTGTATCCTTTGCCACCGAACGAAGTTCGTCAATAATGCTCATTTCGACCAATTATAGGTATTATATCATACACCGCTAGTTTCTGTTGAAGCTCCTTTGCCAGATTCCCCGTTGCTCGTCAGTAGCGCTTATTTCGACCTATTATAGGTATTATATTATGTCATACACCGCTCGTTTCTGTTGAACCTCCTTTGCCAGATTCCCCGTTGCTTCATTTTCTAACCACGACGTCGCCTTTGTCTGTTTAGTATCATAATCTACACACAATTTTATGAATTTTCTGATGTAGCCTCAGCCGTGGTAAGGATTAGACCCTAGTTAGATAGGTACACTGTTGAATTTGTAATTTCAGTAATTAAAAACAAATATAATGTCGAACAACAACGGTAAAAAGAAAACGCGCGATTTTCATTAATAATAATATCACAATGGGAACAGTTTATTTTTGTCCCCTGCCCTGGGCGAATAACATGTTCAGCTAACGGCTTTGTAAATTATAATCTAAATAGTTCAGAGGTTTCAAAAATACTTATTGCGCAACGAGCTGAGCTTATTGGCCAGCGACATAATATAATATTTACACAATACAGCATTATGGCGTACGATTGTTAGATTTATGTACTCCGTTTTCAATTACACACTTGGTCCGCGTCAGTTATACGACATACACACGTTTTAATAACAGCACCGGTTTAGTGTAGGTAAGTAATACTAATTGCAATAATATCATTATTATTTCGTGATGATTTATAATTGTGTGTTTTACGCGAGTGAGAATTTAATTAAATTTATTTGGTAGGTATCCGATATAATTTTCGAACTATTACATTGCAGGGTGATGTTAATAATAACGTACGATAATATCATAAAGCAATAAATTCACATCGTGTTTGAGAGAATTTTGATTGAATTCGTACGGATTCCCGCGAACTGCATTATATTTTCTTATTGATGCGTGCAGTCGATTTTCTGTAGACCCTCCCGGATAAAAAAAACAAATCAATATCATCAAAAAAATGGCCACAAGAAATGTAATCTTAGTAAGGTATGGGAACAATAAACGCGTTGACCGCGACAGACATATCGACTCGATAGGTCTATGTATCTAGAAGTGAAAACTGGTTAATAGTACGCGATTTTCAAAGGATTCATTTACAAAGTTATCAGTTCGGGAGGAAAAATGCAGAGTCAAGAGAAATTGCTGAGGGCAAACGAATTATTATAAAGACCAAAAACACTAAAAGCATTTGCAGGTCATGTGATACGAAAAGTAGAAACAACGTGTGTAAGAATATCATTCGAATGGACATGGATAGGACGAAAACGGATAGATAAGGTATGAAGAGAATTAGAAATACTGGAAAAGTGACAAATCGAAAAGAAACAGAATCCAGGGAAGATCATATAGGTACTAAATCCAAGACTGTACCGTGACGATTAGAGAACAATGGCGATGGATTAAAGTCAAATAAAAAGAAGACATTAGAGATTTAGATAAAAAAAAAAAAAAAAAGGTACTTTACCTGATAGTAAACCGTATCTGGTGTTTCTTCGAGTACTGTCCAATTGAGTATGGCACCCTTACCATCATCTTCGCAAGACAACTTCAACGAGTCAAAAAAAGCGTCGAATGTTTCCATTTCGGAAGAACGGTCGTAAGACCTGAACTTCCATTCGCAATATCGACCAGCTAAAAAACGATAATATGAGACATCACTTCGGAAGTAAAGACGATACGTTTCTTTGTTTAAATTCATTTTTTAACATGTTGCAGTTGTATAAAAACGATAAATTAGTTTTTATTTCTGAACGATGCGTTTAACGTTATATACGGAATATTGTAATAAATTTTAATTTTATAATAGCCGATTTTACTCTAAAACCAAAATTAAGCGAGTTCTACGCATTCTGCGTAAGGTAAACTTTGCTATATTCCACGTTAGTAGTTGCACTGAGCCAGCACATGCGGGTATATCGTACTCTTAATTCAAAAATTTAAGTTGAGCAATTTTATAAAAATAGGTAATTGTGAGGGATTTTGATATGCTAGGTACGCTACTTTTTAAAAGTAGCTAGAGTACCTCTACTACTTTTTACCCAAGCCAAGCACCGCCTAAATATATAAATAGTTTAAATCTTGTAAATATAACAGTGGTACCGTGATATTTCACAGAGAGTATTGACAATGACGGTATAAACAGAAAACGGTCCAAATTGACTTTAATCTTTTCTTAGAAAAAAAAAAAAAAAAATCGCATTATAATTGGAATTTTATTTTCCGAGACTTTTCGGACGATAGGCACTACAACAACAATTAATTTTATTAATAATACAACTATATTAAGGTATACCCGTGGTGGGTAATGGATAACCTTCCGAGTCGAATACTATGCCGGCAAACACCCGCTGATTTTTTTCGGCGTCGAGTATCTGACCGAATCCTCCTTCGGGGCTGTCGGTGATGTAAAGCGGATGGTAGTGTCCGACCTTGTTTGGATCATTACCTGAAATTCGATACATTATATCTATTATTATATTTTAATGAAAAAAATTCGAACATACCTCGTATCACGGGTAGGTCACTGTTGTTGGTGAACATTTGGTAATGAATAGAATATAGGGTATATTAATTTACATGTAAAATGAAAGCAACAATAAATCCTAGAAATTAAAAAACAATTCTGAGCGGAGCTCGGTATACCTTTAAGTTTACCTGCATTTTTACCTAATAGCCCATCAATATAAAAAAACTGACATAATATCATAATTTTTGTTGAACGTTTTTTTTTTTTTTTTAATTTTTAGAAAAACTGCTAATGGGAATCTAAAAAAAATGTTCAGGAAAATGTCAGATGGCAGAAATTCTCTATATTTAAAAGGACGGACCTACTAGAAAATGCGTTTCACAACGGTCGTAGGTTACAAAAAAAAAAAACCTATATATTACATGTTTTTTGAAATATTTTTACCTCCTTCGACGATAAACGTGTACGTCTGTTTTCTCTCCACGTAGATTTCAGGTATCAGTTTGTCGTTTATGTACCAGACCACGTCGCCCGCAAAATGACCTGTGTAAATTGTAAAAACGTTTATTGAATATTTATAATTTAAATTGTTTTATCTCTTAACATTCGATTAAACATTTTTTTTTCAGTGTGTTTTAAACATTCAATTGCTCTTCAGGCCCGGACAATATTTCGAATAGTATATTGACTTATTTTCGGAATTTTCTCGATTTTCTGACGAAAGCTTATTGCCGAAACCGAGGCGTTAATAACATCAAAAATATCTACTCATATTTATATTGTACGTGTTTTTTTTCTAAAAACATACACTTAGCTAATATATTTTATACACTACGTTTATTTTGATACATTATAGTATACGAGAAAATTAAATCTCAATTCTTACTTCAAAAGTATTTAATATAATAATATATTATTATTAATTCTATTAAAATATACAATACCTTCCATATTATGTTATAATCAATGCTACGGCAGAATTCGTAATAATATTTAAAAAAAAAAAAGACTAAAAATTAATTTCTTGTTGATAATATGATTATAATATGATTTTAATGACACTGCACAGTACATACGACCGCGAGAGGACGAAAGAGAAAAAAACGTACGAATGGAAAATATTTTAATGACACGAACACAATACTATTATTATAATCAATCTATCATTGTTCATAATTTGGATTTTTTTTTCCTGGTCCTGGGGAATCATATTTTGGGCCCAACACGACTTTTACCACAATTGAATTCACATCAGAGCACAATACAGTACACTAATCGACTTATTTTAATAATATTCAAAACAATTGTATTATCATTAAAACAATCAAAAAATTACCATCCGGGTGTTGTGTTGAAATAATCTCAAAATATGTTTAATGTCAACATAATATTAGCATATGTCTAGTTTACAGGTCTTTCAGGTCACTTCCGTTGGCTTGCATATGTCGAAATTTTATTTGAAAAAAATCCGCCAGCTTTGGTATGTAAAACCACGGTACAGTGACAAACAAAAATGATTTGAAATACCGAAAATCGCAAAAAAAAAAGTCTACTAAAAAATACAATTATCTTTTGGGAAATTTCGCACTTGGGATAAATGTGATTCTTGCCGTGTAATTCGGAATTCGGAAGAGGTTTTCTAGACCGAAAAATACCGCGTAATCGATAAATTCAATTCAAATCGTATGGCAGATAATCTGCGGCGTATCGGTATTATGTCTACTGTTCGGAAGCGGTGCACTTACCCGTTATGGCTTTATAGCCTCGTTCGCCGCCGGACGGACCGAGCCTGGCAACGAACTGGTTCTTCCCGATAATGATGTTTGGTGGCCATGCGGACAGTGACTCGTCGTCGTCGTCTATGTTGTATAGAGACGTAGCACACGTGTTGTCGTTCTTAGATCCGAACGTTATTCGGATTTCGTCTATTGACAGATTAATAGGCCGCGGTTTAATTTACAGTTTAATAATAGTTTAACACCATAATGTAAAAAAAAATAAAAAAATAAGAACAATCAAGGGGAAAAAAGAACAACAATATTAAATCTTTTAATTAGTATTTTACAATTATGATTATTAACGATCGGTGACACTATAATAGACTGTAATTTATAATAGGTATCCAGTATAAATCACGGTTTTGTTAAAGATCGTGATAGAATTTCCAGTTTCTGTACTATCTGATTAGATAATACAGTAGTTCTATACATTTCAATCATAAATCAGGGTTAAAGTTTGAGAAGAAAACGGGCATACTACTTCGTACGGTGGGTGGGCCACGGTTGTAAGTAAAACGTTGGAAATGTAGGATACAGAGGGGAATTAAATGTCTATATGCAACGATTACACATAGGTAGCAGTTGAGCGATGGAGACCAACTGGGACTAGAATAGAATTCAAATAGAACTATCTAGGATAAAATTCGTTTAAAAAAGTGACGGATGGGGTGGAGAAAGGAGGTGCTGGCAATAGAGAATGCACAATCGCGACTAGTGAAAAGCAGTGTCAGTGACTGCGAAAATTTTTGAAGGGTGGTGATGCCAAGAAGAAGAAAAATGATTATTTAAATAAATCTTTACATTTTTATTATAAATTACTGACCAATAGAATGTAATATTATTTGGCAAATTTTCTAATATACCTACTCTTTTTAGAATTTTTTCTCCCATTGGTATTTTTGTTTAAATCTTGTTGGGATATAATAACGTGTCATGGTAAACTTCTGTTCACTACAGATCACCACAAAAGCAAAATTACAAAACGGTATGCAGGGAAACACGATGAGATCAATCCGGCTACGACGACGGTATAATTGAATATTAATCAAAGGTCCTTTACATATATTATACGTGGGGAATGACGATAACAAAAATGGCGTGTTCATATACAAAGGAGGAAAGAGAATCGAACGGTTGTAGCACCCTCACCAAGGGTACGAATATGCAGTAACCGTGCACGTGTGTACGATTTATTATACAAAACGAGTGGTACAAGACTTCTAAAAGGTTCGTAAAAAAAAAAAAAAAAAAAAAAATACGCGTATAAAATAATAATTGTTATACCTACCCCTACTGGCAAAAGCTATTATTATAATATAATACCGGCAAAAACTGAGGTCGTCACCGACACGCGACACCTACACAGCATTACATTTTATTGTGTACAAAATAGTAAATAAAATACGCGATCGCAGAAAACGATAAGCACGTTTATGATAATTGAACGTTCGAAAATTTAATAAAAAAAATGTAGGTGCTGTATAAAAAAAAAAAAGGACGGTTGGAGTAAGTACAGACAATACAGTAGATAGGTATACATCGGGAGTTGTTGCCAGGAACAAAATTTATAATTGAGTATACGTACACGAAATTGCATGCATATAGGAAAATATTAGAAAATTTGATTGTAAACCATAAAATACAAGATGATCCATTTATCATATTTTCCTGCTTTTCCGGTCTAAATTGTATGCGCTAATAAATCGTAAACAGTAAATTCGATACTAAGGATACAAATAGTATGAACAATGGACATATCAATATTTTTGAAATTATAATCACTTTTCGCATCTATGTTAAAAATAGAGAGTTTCTCTGTTTAAACTATAGGAGTTAGTAGCGAGTAAGTAAAACAAATTGAAACCACCGTTCAAATAAAGACTAAGCCATTCCACGTAATATAACGATTGAAAAAACCGGATATGAAATTCACTGAAAATCCTTAGAGAGAATCGCTGGTTCTCGATTAATGGATCACACTGTTTATTAAATAACCGAACATTCAAGTTTTTCTTCAATATAAATAATAATTTAATATAAATATTATCTAAAATAATAGTAATATGAATAATATTAATAAAATATATAATAAATAATAAAATAATATGACAAATAAATCTAAAAAATTAATTTCGAGCATAATACAAAATGTATTATTCAAATTGTTATTCAAAAAATTATACATTTTTGTCTTTATAAAAATTATTTTTCGATTAAATAATGCAATCCATTTGACGATTACCACATTTGACCGAAAAACCGTTAAATCGCTCAGAATTTCGAACATAGGTACTCTTCAATTTTTTTGGTTCCCTCGACGTACTAGATCGAACACCCGCTTCTGAATTTTTACAGCCATGAAGATTGTTATCAATATTTATAGAACTTAAAATTTTTTTTAAAAAAAAGAGCTCTTACTGCTGATAGGTGTGCCACCGTTGTACGCGAAAAGTTAGGAATGTAAGACACATAAAACTATTTACACAATTTATACCTGTAAGCAATGACAAATAGTTTTTAATTAAATACAATTCTGAGCGAAGTTCGGTTAAACACGTTCTGAAATGCTGTGATTTTTATATTTTTGTCAAAAATTTAAACTTAAAAAACTACTGTGTAACGTTCAACTTATTTGTATCACAAAGTGCAACTTATGATGAACTTCCTGTGAAATTGTCGAGCATTTCGGCTCAGCTTAAACAATTTTATTTACACGAAACAAAATAAAAACTAAAAACCTAGAAAATTAAAAAATGCCTGTAAATAGTTCAAGAATTGAAAATTGACCACGTCTATAAAAGGCCAAGTAATATTTCGGTGTAATATTTCAGATCTCTGCGATCATTTTTGACGGCATTACAAAAAAAAAAAAAAAAAAAGGACTTTCTCATTGCACCGATCAGACACGATTTACTCGTAGAAAAAAAAAAAAATCATCATCGCACATGTAGTGAAACTAACAAATCGGAATCTAATGGGTCTGCGGTATTTTTAATTTGTATACTAATAAAAATATAAAACTAATAATAATAAAACTAACTTTTAGTCATGTCGGAGGAGCTGTGGGCGCCGGGCCGGCGCGCAACGGTACCGAAGAGCGGTCCGATGGCCGCTATGACCAGCGCTTCCTCGTCCAGCGGCACCGCCCGGTCGTTGATGGCCTCGTTGGTCTGCATTGGCCGCCGGTACACGATGCACGAGACGCCGTTCCGCCGGGTGCCGGACACGAGGACCGCGTCGTTGCGGCCGCCCAGCAACTCGTCCTGGCACACGCCGTTCTTGCCTCGGCACTCCATCGTGGCCAACAAATAGTAGTCCTCCGCGTGAAACGTGTTTTTCTCCCGGTCGTAGAACGCCACGACCACGTCGCCGCCGATCATTGTCACGCTGCCGGCCAACAGGGAAACGCGGGACGTTAAGCGTGGTTCGCGATCGGCCGTGCCGTGCGGCGCGCTGTTTGCTTTTTTTTTTTTTGTTTTTTTTTCTCTCGTCGGCATTTTCACCGGCCGATCGGAAAATACCGCGTTCGGTACCGCGAGACACGAGCACGCGACGTATCGCGAACCTCGCTCTAAGGCCCGCGGCGCTTAAAACGACGTGCCGGTTGTACGAACGAGTGGTCGAACAGGCCGGGCGCCTACCACGGCCGCGTGCCGCAAATAATCGACGGTACCGTTTAACGTGATAAACCGACACCGAGAACGTCGAGTTTATCTATCTATTGATAAATCTATAAATCTATTGATCGATCTAACAATCCGACGACGCATCGATATGGTATCGCGGGAATCGCGGAAAGCGTAAACGTCCGTATACATTTTTTTTTTAAAATTATATCATTGTTTCGTGTTCATTATCATCACGTTTTTTAATTTTAATTTCTTTTTTTTTTTGAATATTTTATCTCGATGTATCGTCGAATTATCGTTACAATAATAAGTACCGATAAATACGCTCATTATTTTCCGTACCGGTTTGTCACATTATATTATTTGAGACAAACGCCAACGGTCGGCGCCCGATAGTAGTAAACGGCACGTGTTTTCCGTCGAATTATCTTATAACACGCGCACGGCGTATTTGTTGTTACGCGGATAGCGGGGCGGTAACGAAACCTGAGCGGCGGGGCCATAACAAACCAGTAGCGAAAACGGTTGAAAAACGACTGCCGCGACCGCTACGCCGTTGCATTAGTACCGTAGCTGATTTTGGCGGTTCGGTCTGACGCGGTCGCGACAAAAACATTTTATCGCCATGTGCCCGTCGTCTTTAAACGTTTTAAACCATAATAATACAATAAGCATTATACGAGGGCTAATCAAAAAGTATCGAGACTGATAATGTTACTCGGAAACCGAGCGTTGAAGAGCAAAACGATTTGTAAACCCAGCTTCTATGACTTATACTGAGCACATCTATCCGTATAAAATCTCTATAAACTTCTTCGTTTTGATTTGACGATATTTTTCTAAAATTTGTTTTTCACGTTTGGCGATTTCGTAATGAATCCAAAAGAAGCGGAACTCGCTGCCACTCGAGGGCACATTTTCAGTTTTTCAATTGACATTTAATGGCAAAAACCATGAAATGTTGCATCCCTCTGAAACTGGAAAAAAATGCAGACAAATTTTCTAAANATATATTTTACAAAAATATCAGTGAAATCAAACCGAAGTATTTTATAGAGAAGCGATAAAAACAAATGTACTCAGAAAAAATCATAGAAGCAAGTGATACCAATCCCACTGCTCTTCGACGCTCTTTTTCCGAATGATACTACCAGTCTTGATACTTTTTGATTAGCCCTCGTATGCCAGTAAGGCCGAGCAAGTTAACGGAAACAACGTACGTAACGCTGAATGTGAGTTCTTTTTAATGGGCAGCCAAGTTGAGTTGAAACTTAATTCGAACATTAACCCATTCAATTGAGTTCGGTTAAACGTGTTTCTGGGAACAAGGACGATCAATGTTAAACACTGCGGGGGGTTTATTTCAGGAATGTTAAATCGAACCAATTTAAAACACAGACCTTCCACGTTCGTAATTGATAAAAAAAAATTTTTTTGCATCTTTTCATACAGTGTATAGGTGATACGTTTTGCAATAAACAATTAATGTTACACCGTCACGCGATGCATGATTAAAAATATGAACCCGCGATTTACTCACTTATAATCTAAACATTAGTTGAGTCAAAAGTCAAATTAATAAAAAAAACTAACATTAAAAACCCAGTCGAATATTAAGTTACGTTAGGTTATCTTAACTTCTCAACTCATGAATTTCCATTATCCAAGCCACGGGTGTTGCAGGATAGAATCAAGAATTTATTAATTTTTTAAAGATTAAAAGTTTGGGAATAAAATATAAAATGCGCCCAATATTATACAATCTACATAATACATAATATATAATGTGAAGTGTAATTTTGTTTGTGTAATTTTTACGCTCTTTACACGGAAAACTCACCCGGGTTGAAGTTTACACATTTCCCAAATTAGTTTTTCTTCCCTTTTAAATTTGGCTCAATTTGTTGCAGGGCGGTGAGTTTATCTTCTATATAGGTTTCACCGGAAAATTACTTAAAAATATGACCGTTTGTTCGTAATAATATATCATGGTTATTAAAAACTCGAAAAAATCTTAATTGCAATATTATTTATATTTTATTGTAAAATGAAAATAAACCGTGTGCGTAAAAAATTCCCGAACATAAAAAAAAAAAAATGCATTCACTAATAAGAATACTATTACGTTTAAAAATTATGTAAAAATATGCAAAATAAAAATGGTATATTTTTTTAATCTCAAGGCATGCAGTGGAACAGATTTCAAAATAAAAATATTATGCAAATCCCTTTCAACGTTCTAACCTAAAGTGATTATTATTATATACAGAGTGTTTCGCATGCTTATTCTATTTTTAAAACTGCATATTTCTACATTAATAATTATTTGTATTATTTTTTGCAACACGTGTGAAAATACACGAACGGAAACTATACAAACGAGATAGTAGACAAGGGGTCAATTTTTTATAAAACTCAAAATTAGGAAAAAAATATTTAAATAAATGTTAGTTTTCTATGAACATATCAGGCCTCTACAATTTATTTTGTTGTCATTAAGTAACAAAAAAAAAAAAAAAGCACCCGTACATCACATCATGAGTATCAATGGTCCCCACGATTACTGATGGGTAGTTGGGAAGGTATACAAGGATATTCAAGGTAATAATTTGATTGGCTTCGCTAAATAATAAATTACAATAAACCTTGCGGTCCATATTTTTCGTCTTAAATTTCGACCATTGTTGAAAAATCAAATAACTTACATAAAATAAAATAAAAACTTAAAGAATTTAATTATTCCGAATTATCAAAAATCCATAATGAAAGTAAAAAGTGACCACCCAAATTTACCAACTAGACAAAATTTTCTACCACTAGCAATGTCTGAAATTATCATATCGTAGCAAGATAAGTAGTTAATAGACATAAAAACAAAAGCACAAATCATAGTTTATTGACCGATTCATATCTCGCTATGCTAAAAATCCAAGAAAAGTTTCGTCGAGGAAAAATGGTTCGGAACCATAACGCGCGATAAAATCACTAGTTTTAAATTAATAATTCCAGTGCATATACCTATACACATCCATATATCTAACGAGTCAAAAATATCGTTCACTTTTGCGTATTTATGTTCACTCACATGTTTGGATTACCGCTGAGTCCGAACGCCATATACTGATCGTCTTTTATTTTTCCGGTCAACTGCACTTGGAGCCAGTCGCCTTGCACTTCCCAGTTTACATGCAGTCTGCCGGGCATCAGCTCACGGCAATTGTTCATCTCCCAGTGTCCTTCGGGATCCTGAGTGGTGCTACTCGTCTACAAATAGTTACGGATACAATTTGTTTTTGTTTTTGTTTTTGTTTTTTTCATTTAACAATGCAAACGATTATATTCCATAAATCGGACAAAATTGCAACATGGCGACGTAGGCATCAATAACATTACAAACTGCAAGCGGTTATAATTTTTTTTTTTTTTTTTTCTATGAGTATTTTAAAATTATACAGATGTAGAAATCATTTAAGTGTATGGGAAAACGGTTTTTCTTCCCCCTAGAATCCGGGTGTTTTAGGGAAAATTAAACAAGTTACCGGAAAAATATCGTAGCTTCGAAGGTAAAAGAAAATATATATTTCTAAAAATAATGATTTTTAAAACACAGATTTTGATCCATGTAATTACTGAATAATAATAACGAAAGTCGCCGAATATGCGATTGTTACCGGCGCACAATTTTAATTATATTACATAGTAAAGTGTCGTTAAAACAATATTATACTTACTGGATTGTACCACCACTTTGGCTATATATTATTACATAATATACACACCCGAATCGCAGCACATAAATAAAATACATTCGTTAACAATATAATATAACATTATGGCTTTCGGAACATATTATTTAAAATTAAAATAACAAAAACTATTTTTTAAGTTTTCAATAGATACTTAATAAAAAAAAACTTATAAAATAGATAAAGTATAGGTACCCAACAGACCTCGCAAAGGTCAATTAGAATATAAATTAATTTATAAACTATACAATTTACAATTGACGTTTGTTATCTCTTTATAACGGGCAATATAACCAAAAATGTATTTTCGTAATTCCAATAGACCTAAAACAAAAATTATTTCACTAAATTAAAGACAACAACATTTACTATGCTTTCACAGAGGGATTTTTTGATATATCCGTTATACAATTTTAAGATGACAAAATAACAAAATAATTTTTTTTTTCTTTAAGTTTGGAGAATGCACATTGATTATCTAGGAAATCAAAAAAAAATTTCTAAAGTACCAGCCACGTAAAATTTTTTCTCAGAAAAGGTACTACAATTTATTTATTGGAGCAAGATTTCTGGTAGAAAAAATGTTTAAAAAATATATCATTGTAAAACAAATACATTTCTTGCTTCGCTCAGAATCTAAAATAACATAGTAAATATTTTCGTATTTAATTTGGTGAAATAATATTTTTTTCAGGACTGTTAGGTCTATGAAAGTAATATTGGAAGTACGAAAATAAAGTTTTCCCGTTAGATAGACAAATATAGTATAAATGTTATCATGACGGCCTTAATGAATTTGCGTTATTCGAAGTTAATATCTTTAAGTCAACATAAAAGTTCGGTTTGTTATTAATGTTTACCAACTAGTTTCGGCGAGGTAACCGAAATACAATATTAAAACAAATTGTACCCTGTTGTGGATAATAATCCATGTTTTTAATCACAAGCGATTTTAACGATTTTAAACGATTAAGCGATTTTTACTGATAGATTTTAAGTAATATCGATTTATGTTTTTGCTTTCCAATTATTGTGAAATCGTTAAGTGTAAGTTTTATTTTAATACTATTTCCAATTCTTTAATTCAATTTCTTATATTTTAAATAAATGTATAGATAATCCTTCCCTACTCCTCCGGTAAAAATGTTAAACTGTACAACTTATCATAATCAGTAAATCCGGTACAAATGTAACGCATCATGCTTAAAAAAAAAAAATTGTTTATTTGAATCTGTGTGTAAAATGGAGATTGAAAATTTAAAATGTATTTACTCATTAGAGTCTGAGGTAGAACAACGAAAACAATGTTAAAATAAAGCTTTAACGATTCCATATAACGGCATATAAAAAAAAAAAAAAAAAAAACAGAAATCAAATATTCACTTTAAATACTCGGAGAAAATCAGTGGACCAAGATAAATTGACCATCTGTAGAGTTAGTTTATTTGCGCGAATAATAAAATTAATATTGAGATAAATACTTACAAAGGTTTACTTTCGTGAAATTTAATTCCAGAAAAACTACTATAGGGTGTACATCGAGATTTGTCATCTGGGCGAAATATACATACTCATATCATTACCTATATATTTAAGGAGTAGCAAAAAAAAAAAAAAATATCGGGAAAAAGAGGGTTGGACACTGTTTAATTTAAAAACAAACAATTAAGAGTTGAAAATAACAAATGAATGAAATAATGTCGAAACAAAAATAATATTTAAAAACTTATAATCATGTATTAACCAAAAATTAAAAAAATATATTTAACAAAATAATAATAATAATAATAACAGTTCACAAAAACGTTTAATAACAAAATAATAATATTGATAAAACCAAAAAAAAAAAAAAAAAAAAAAAAAAAAAAACAAAAGCGAAAATAATATCATGCATATCGGTATTGCTACAGCATATTCATTTTGGTTTTACCGACGAAAAATGAGAAATAAATATTTCCTCGGTTTTAGGACAATTGTTCATGGTACTTTTTTTTTTTTGTAAATTTCCATATTGTTATAGTGTTGATAAAAAAAATTCACTATACGATAATTACAATTAACTGTATCCTATTACGTATTAGAAACGCTTTAAATTCGACTTTTGGCGTGAAAATACTTTTTACGATTTAACAACAGCAATACCGATGAAAAAAAAAAAAAAAAAATTAAATATTTGTATTTTATAACCCTGTAGCTAATAGTTGTAATACCGATCGAAATAAACGTTTGGCGTCGGAGAAACCCCGTGACGGGAATATTCGGGAATGTCTCGGCCCCGGGACGAGGACAAGGACCCTCCTCTTATCACGCTCAAAGGGCCGTAACGGGTAAACGACCCGGGATAGAATTGGTGGAAAAATCCAAAGTAATCGGGCTTTTTTATCGGTTTCGGCGGTTTGACTGCACTACTCACGGTGATTTTAGTCTGGCCCAAAGCCGGCGGCACGTCCAAGTCGTCCGGAATGATGACGTGCCCGAAATTGTGAGTGTGCTGCACGCACCAGACGGCCAGCCAATCGATCGAGTGCACTGTCAGGCTTTTGGGTAATTGGATTTCTATGTCCTCCCCTTGGTAGCCCTTCAACGGTTCCAAGCTGAAAACAAACGGCACCGTTACTCGACGTAATAATAATAATAATAATAATAACAATATAATAATAATCTGCATCCACACTCGTCGTCATCCTGCAGAACCGGATGAAGGGAAGATCAAATGAGGGTTCGAGGGGAAAATATATAATGCCAAAACAGCTTAAGCCCCGAAAGTGTATTTATCAGAAACGGGCGCACAATAGTTATAGATGTTTTCTTCGTATATAAATTCAAAATTGACTTTTTGTAACTATATTAAGTATAAAAGGTTAGGTTAAAGTACAATAGCGATATTTTTTTTTATTTTTTTTTTATAGTCGAGCCCATATTTGTTTAACATTAATATTATATATAATATTATCTAAAAAACTAAAAATTCCAAATAGCAGATAACCAGCTATTCAAATAGCCTGAAAATTTCAAAAATGTTACCATGTGTACAAAAAATATTGTTGTATACAAATATTCGGTCGATAGTATATGTCTTTACGATTATTTTTCACCCAAAAAAATCAATAAAAGTACAGGGGAAATCGAAAAATGACTTCTCTGATGCAACTACTGCGCGTCCCAAATAATAAAATATATGACTGTCCCATAAGTATTTTTTCATATAATAATCAAGCTGGGCAAGTTAACCAATTTGTTATTAACTAGTTTAAGTTGATAGTTATCCTCCCCCTTCCAAAAAAAAATTACTAAGCTAAGTTAAAATTAATTTTGAAATATAAATATGTTCGACTTACTTACTATGTTAGGTATTTTTTTGAGAAAATAATAACTTAGTAAAGTTAAAAATGAAAGGTTAATATAAGGAGAGCTTATCCCTTATACTCTGCTAATAACTATCCCTAATAACATATTTAAAATAAATAATTAGACTTTAATAGACTTAATATAATTATTACTAGCCTTAGGGGCTTCTAGGACTTATGTTAAGTTTGGTATTTATGCTATTTTCGTTTAATCCTTCACAAAAACAATATGCACATGCACGCTCTAATTATTGTTACACAAGACTCGAATTCCTGCATTGTCCGTAGGTTTTATTGCTATGACACATGATATTCACGTACAGATATGTAATTTCCGTCGAAAAATAAATGTAAAAAAACATTTGCAATCAGTATTTTGTATAACTCAACATAATAATAATACATAATTTTAACATAGTAATTATGCCTAGTTAAAATTATTTATTAGACAAAAATTAACTTAGTTATTTTCTAACATTTTATTAATTTCTATTTCAACTAGTTAAATTAAAAAATGATCGAAAACTGTTTCACTTATAATTAAACTTTAAACTTGTTATCTAGCTACTGTCTGGCTTTGATAATATCGCACGTAAAACACGGAGTAAAACGTACACAACAGATGAAAACGCCGTCGTTATTTTAAACGAACATATTATTTGTCCGGTTTCGAAACTCATTTTCTCCGACCCTATAGATGTATAATATTTCAGCGTTGCCACGCGAACATGTCTATATATATATATATATGATATTATGAAATTTTTTCGGGATATAATGTTATTATTATTGGAAAGAGCAAAAAATCATATTATAGCCGACTATAATAATATCGCGCACAGTATCGGTAATAATGGACGCGATGCTGAGAGTCGGTATGACGAGTTACGCGGAGAAGCACAGGCTTTACGAAATGTTCGGGGTACGTACCATAATAATAATACGATACGAGTACATTATGAGAGTTCATAATAATAATAACAATAATAATAAAACGCCGAATCCGATTGTGTGTATAAAATATAATATTAGAAATTGTATTTCACGTTTTATAATGTGCCTACGTTTTTATTCTGATGGGCACGGACGTGTAATACTCGTATTTTATTATTAGGTATAGATTTCCACTTTTCCGCGGTCTATTATATAGGTACGGATTATAATAATGTACGACCGTTGCAGAATCCGCAGATCACATATTATTATTACGTTTTGTCATTATTGGTTTTTTTTTTTTTTTTTAGTATACGCGTGCAAACGCAGATACAGATTATGAACTAGAATCTAACGCAGATACAGATTATGAACTAGAATCTAGTTGCTAGATTGTTAGGTTCCCTATGCTATCCACGTAAATATTCGAAGCCACTGTATCCACCGTTACTAGTATGTCATACGTATCTCATCATGTTATAATTACAGAAGGATTTATATTCATTTATAAACCACAAAAAAACGCATAAAAACGTCAAAAAAGCTTTGAAAAAGATCTTAAAAACAATTAAAAAGCAAAAATAAAAGAGAGTTTAAACACGAAAAAATGACTAAAAACAAAATAATCTCTTTTAAATAAAATCTTAGAATTATAAAAAAACAAAACATTACTTTTTTGATTTTTGCAGTGTTAGACAATTTTATTTATAGGTTATATCTGTTAGAAGGGGGTACTTTGAAAATTATTATTTTTGTTTTTTTAAAGGATTTAAAAAACATATAAATCCGGTCTTTATTTACTATCAATTATCTTGTTCTACACGTATATTTTAAATATTTAAGTAGAAATTAAAAAAAATTAAATGTTAACGATTAACAATCATAGCACTTTTTCTGAAAGGAAATTTTCTGTATGTGGTACTTTAGAGAAGTCATATTTTAAAATTCTTTTTTATATTCGAGATAATGAAGAAAACCGGGTTCTTTAGGTTGAAAAAGATTGAAACATTAAAATTAAGGTTGTCATTGGCAACGTTTTTATTTATTTATTGTAATTATTAAGTTTTTATTATTTTAATCTCTTAAACAATCACTGTTGTCATGGAAATCCACATTGCCGTAAATATTTTATCATAATGCGATATGTACCATATATTGTATCGTTGAAAAAGCAACGCTATCAACTGAATTCGGCTTAGAATCGTTTTTTCGTTGGCAATGGTTTATCGTTACTTACAGATATATATTAAATTCATGTCATACCTCCCCAACAGTGGCTGTACCCACGTGCACAGTATGTCCGTCCTTTTTTTAATTAAAGTATCATAATATTTTCGCAATTAAAAATAATGTTATGTATAAAAAAAAAAAAAAAAATTATTTTATATGTTGTAAAATAAAATAGTTTTATGTAATTTTTATCTTTTGTTAACACCTCCGACTTTCATATTGATCAAGAAGTTTTTCTTCCCGGATACTTATTTTTACTTATCAGGTTCAATCGGTAGGATTTTCGAGTCACGTAAGACATATTATACAAGGCGAGGTCCAGTAGTCATCCATTAGATTTATGGTATAGTGCACGTTCACGTTCGATCGCTTATACCGGCATTTCCACGCCGTTAAATTTGGCAGATTTAAACGCTCAGATAAAAACTAAAATTATAAGGTATAACCGTTTGTCCAATCACTGATATTCGTTGACGCTCGTGTTATCAATACTTTTATTCGCGTTCACCGTGAAATCCATTTAGAAGTTATTACATCCAAAGCACCCATAATTATGTTTAAATGGTTTTCTGTTGAGGGAATTATTTTTATTTTTTTTTTTTCTGGAAATAATTGAATCGAACAAATAACCGACAGCAACGGATCACTCTACCAATATAATAACAGGAGACCATATATTGTGTATGCAATTGATAACCCAACCTACATTATTGTATAGTTGGCGAAAATATTACGTTTTTGTTTTAAAGTGAAACATAATATTACAATATTTCAACTTTGCGATCCATATATTATAACGCCGGTATCGTATTTACTTTTTTTTTTTTCCAGAATTTGGTCAAGGCGCTCGCCATGTGCCAGCCAGCAGATCCATTGAAGTTTATCGCGTGGTTTTTGAAACATCAACTTCACAGAGATGTACCAAAAATCATATTGGTTGCTCCGCCCGAATTGGACGTCGGTAAATAATAACAATGTTATTTCTTGAGATGTACTCGTAGACTATTGACGACTTCTGCACTTTTATCATTTTGTACTTAATAAAACGATTTCCCTATTAAAAACTAGTTCATCGCTTCAACGATTTAGAATTTATACAATTCATTTTGCATTTTTAGCTGTAAACAGGCTAAAAAATTAGAACTAAAAAAAAAATATTTAAATTTGTTTATCATTGTTTTTAGTCGAGAGTTTTTCTTACTCTAAATAATACTCTTATATCTCTGGGCAATAAAAATATCTTTAAATAATTAAATCATAATTTTTAACATTTGTTAGCTCATTGTTAAATGGTTTTAGTTCATTGAAGCATTTCTCTTTTGAATTATCAACACTTCATCTTTAATTATAATATGATAATATAAAAACATCTATGGAACCCCAAAATAATACTGTGAACATTTCGACTGGTCGATAATACAATATTATGGTAATATTAATTTTTTATTGTTTATAGATAAAGTACACATTGTACTTAACTTAGCGAAAATAACTGGAGCAGTGACCATCGATCGGAGGAACGTAATACGCAGACAGCAAAGCAAAAGAGTTTGTACCCAAATAATACTTTATTTTTTTTATCAATCCGAAGATTGGTTTTAACAAATTTTTATATTAAATGATTTCTCCATTTTTCTCTGTTATACGCCATATTCTTGAGATCCCTGTAAAAAGTGACTCATGCAACCTTTATTATATGGCTAGTGTATTTCGTCCTGGGCCTTCCTCTTGATCTTGTTCCTTCTATCATTCCTTCGATTATTAAACTATGCACTTCATCGCCATGCCTCAACGTGTGTCCTATCAAGTGCCATTTCCTTATCCTTATAGTGTCTATCAATGTTCGTTTTTTATCTATTGTCTTCAAGACGTCTACATTCGATCTTCTCTGAGTCCAGCTTATTATCTGCATCTTTCTCCAACATCACATCTCCAGAGCTTCCAACATATTTTTTTCTTTTTTATTAATTGTCCACGAGTTTATATTTACTAACTTCTTTGCCATCTGGATCTTTCTCCACAATTGAATTCCAGTCCCTAATGATAATTCGATTTTTCTTACCATTTGTGAGGTTAATGAGTTTTTCTATATTTTCGTAGACCTTCTATTTCCTCATCGTTCGTTTATGTTGTGGGCATACATGCTTATATTATTGCGATGTCATTAGGAACAGATTTTCGTTTGATTAATATCAACCTACCATCGTAGGCAATGTAACTTTTTACACATTGCGCTAATTTTGTATGCAGGATAATGTCTACTACATTTTTCCATTATCACCACCGGAGTAGATGACTCTTTAGTCTGCCGATATAAAATCACCTTGACAATTCCATTTCATTCCACTTATTCCCAAAATATTTATTTGGAGATGTTTCACCTTAATCTTAAGATTATCTAGTTTCCCTGTTTGTAACAGAGTTCGGACATTCCATGTTCCTATCATATTACAAGGATTTCGCTTGATAACGACTTGAGGTCTTATTTGGCCTCTTGCCTGGAATAATCTCTCTGTGCTGGTCATTTGTTAGTTGACTAAGGAAATTAATTTGATGGTTTCCTCTTGCCTTCCACATCGCAGTGTAGTAGCCGTGCTCATGGGCTCCATGCACGCCTACTCTGAATACCTGATTAAAGCTGTACCTGTTTGTGAAGCATCCACCTACAGTACTAAAGGCAACGCTTCCCACCTTCAGGTCCATTTTTCGTCACTTTTTAACTTTCTGGTTATAATACTTATAATGTATATATTATATAAGAGTATATAAGTTATATTCAATTATTTAATCCAACAAGGGTCTTATATAATATGATTTACGTTCTTCTCGATTTACCATTACAGTAAAAAATATTTTATTACCTATTGAAAAATAAATCTGGGAACTAATTAGAATATTCCGAGATGAATGATTTATGCGTACCTATTAAGTGTGCTGTACACAATATTATCAAAAACTTGTGTTTTTAGAAGGACGAGTGGTCGAAAAATGTTGTAATGTCTTTGGTGGAGTACATGCGAAAGAAAGGGGCCGTGGAAAAAGGATGGATTCTATTGGGTATAATCTGCGACTAATCGGGTCGTGAAAATGTTGATTTTTCTTCACAATTTGTTTACCATTTTTATTTTAAATTCGTTTGTAATAAATAGGTATTCCAAACAGCGGAGAAGAAGCCGACAGGATGATAAGTTTGGGCATTCTTCCGACTCACACGGTTGTGTTGAAATCCGATGGTAAGACTGAATAAAGTAAAATTATAATAATCGGAAAAAATATTATTATAGTTTTACTGCAGGCTTAAACGATGATACTCGAATAAAGTATGACAATATCCTACGAGAATACAAGAAATTTGAATACAAAATCAAAATGAAATTTCGTTCTACATTAAAAGTAGATATAATTTTGTTTTTTCGATTTTCACCTACATGTAGTTCAAAACTAATAATTTTCAAAAACTATAATATTGATGTCATAAATATTTCGCTTTTCGATTGAACTCACATAAATACCATTTAAGAACCATAAAACGGTGGTCGCTCGTAGTTTCAGATATGTCAATATAATAAAAAATAATATTCAAAACGCAACCATTTTAAAATGGGTCACTTTTTAACATCAGTATCGAGTTTTCGACGGCGGTAGTCATTGTACGACAAACCAACAACTTTCTGACCACTCGCCGACAACACGAAATTATCCTATTACTATTTGTATAACTGTAGTCTATTCTATTAGTAAACGTTATTAATTAGTTCAGTTTTGTTTTCGGTTAGTTTTACTTGCACACGTGTTTGTGTAGTTACTTGTTCGATACGAGATAACGATCGTTTCTTGATAATATTAACAATGGTAATTCCTCTTTTAAGTCCATTTTTATAGTGGGTAAAAAAAGTAACTATTGATGGTAACGGAAAACATAGAGTGTACGTTATATTTGCGGTTGTGGTGCGGTTACATCGTTGTCGGTTCGAACATCTAACGACCGTAAAAAAGTGGTTTAAAAGTGGTCGATTCTTCAACAGCACAACCACCAAATAATCGGTCATGTGTGTTCCGTGTGAAGTCAACCTTAATGCCCAATTTGTTTGATAATATTACGTTAATTGTTTCGGATTGTGCCAGGAAATCTGCGTGCTCGACGAATCGGTCGATAAACTGACGGAATCATGCTTGGAACAGATATTACGTCAACCGTTGACCGGTCAACCATACATGCCCAGGGTAACTCTGATCGGTCCCAAAGGGTCCGGGCGTTTCGTCACGGCCCAAGCGGTATCCGAAAAATTCGATATAGTTCACGGTAATTGAAAATTGAACAGATTAATAAATCAATTTCAAAACAGACCGCGTGGTTTAATAAATAACAATAATATACTATACGATACACCAATTATTCTACTTATGTAATAAAATGTACACAGTCGACGTTGAACAAATATTGGTTCAAAAAAAATCCGACTGCGCTGTTGATGACGTTCCCCCGGAAACTTTGCGTTCTTGGCTAAAAGTATGTGTATAATTATTAATCATATGATTCCCCGGTGAATTGCCTCGGGAACGGCACGACTACTAAAAGAATATTTTTCGTTTGTACGCCAGGAAAAGATAACCACCTCGGAGTGCGTCAAAAAAGGTTACGTGTTAACGGGTTACCCACGTACGAGAAACGATTTCGAATGGTTGGATTCCATAGAAATGGCTCCCAATCGGTAATTCAAACAGCGCCCTACACGTTCGCAGGGCATTTATTTCCTTTATTAAACCATTATGTATAGAATTATATTTACATTTTTTTTTTCTCGGTTTTTTCGGTCACTTCATTTAACTATGACGATTAATAATACCCATATTCCGTGTTTCGTCACCAGCGTTATATTTTTGGCGATCGAATTTCGGGAAATATACGCGCACGTGAAGAACAGGTGTATCGACAAAAATACGGGCACCTTCAAGACCTTGGATCGAGCCGCGGTAGAATTAAAAACTGGCGCGATAAAGTTTGAACAATTGAACCGGCATTCACTAAATTTTCAACAGTTATTTGATGATTTTAAAACGTATAGCATCCGTTTAAAAGTCAGTATACGAAACTCGTCGAATTGTGTGTGCCACGATAAAAAAACGCACAAAACTGAAAGTTTCCGAATCGTAAACGTAAAACCGACATAATAATATTAAAGTGGTACCGCGATGTATGCTATTGAAATATTGTTGTGGCTAAAACAGCCGCAAATATTTTCTTTTAGGTTTTTTTTATACGTCTACAACATTATTATGAAATTCGAACCAGACCCATTATCAAAAGACCGTAGACAGTAAATTTTCCCGTATCGACTTCAGTTCTACATATGAAGGGCATATAACGAGTATATTATGTAAACTCTCTAAGGATATTTTAAACGTATACTATTCCGGTGAAAAAATGAAAATATTATTTTATAGATTGGTGAATTGACTACGTACAGATTCATGATATAATCGAAAAGGAGAAGGTCCTTTTAATTTCAGCATCTGCCTTTGTTTGCAAAAATTCTATGACGACATAGACGCGTGTTGTTTTATTCAAATCTGTAATTTGATGATGGTTCGATTTCTGTAAACCGTACATTTTTTAAAACTCGGGAGAACCCACATATTTTTTTCGAGTAAATATGCAGTAGATTCCCTCGATATCGCGCTTTACTGTAGTCATACAAATTGGGAAGGTTTATACAACTTTTACAAAACGGAAAAAAATTCGGTTTGGTAGTACAAGGTACCTAACCTTTGCATTAACCGTTTTTCGATTTTTCGGATAAAGGAAATGCTCTGTTATTGCGGGGATGACTGTTCCATCTTGTCGGTAGACGAATCACTCTGCAACAAGATATCGGCGTGCATCACTTCGGGAAGCCCAGCAGTGACTTGCCCGAGGCCTCAAAACCGGATGCCGTCCAGACTTACCCAAAGCATAAACGAGAAAATGCTCCTACTCAAATATCCAGACATCTGCAACGTCAAGTTGTCCGAGGATGCTCAAAGTGTGTTCAACGCTCTCAAACAAAAAGCTTAGAGCTTTGGAATTTTAAATGAGAATTATTATCACGTTAACGCTATGAAATATACAAATTCTAATAAACGTGTTTTAGTTCATTACAACTTTGAGATTTTGTGGAACGGTGAAATTATTTTCCTTATTCATATTAGGTAAGGCGATTCCGCACATTTGTCAAAGTACCTACTTTGAAAATTTTGAATTTTCATTTAAGTACTTTTTATTACTAATAGTAGCGTCGTCTTACTTTTTATTATTTTATTATACTATAGTATACTATACCTTCCGATCTCGTTGGGTAATTTGATTCCGTGAGGTGACGGTTCCGAACCGTTGCCAACGAAGAAATAGGCGTCTGGGCCCAAACCATCGTAGTGCAAATTCGGTATGTAAAAAGTCCGCGCGTCCATAATGGTGATGTTACCCGATCGCAGGCCGTGCGCCAAACGTTTGAACTCGGGTAGCTCTCGAGATTTCGGCGGGTTCAAGTCGTTTGGTATGTACACGTCGCCAAAGTTTACCTGCAAAAAGATTAAAAAAATAATAAAAACAATACTTAATAAGTACATTATCGATTAAATGTGTACGAACACGGATTACTAGTTAATGTTACGGTTATTTAAAAAGTGATAAATTGGGCTGTCGATCGTTCTAAGCTTTCAGAAACAACTCAATTTCACTATTCCCTCAGCTAGTAGTGTAACCTAATACATCATCCGATATTTTCTATTCCCGTGTAACCAATCATGGTACGGCGGTCTTTTCATGGCTAGAACTATGTGACTTATTAATCTTTTACTAGTTGTGATTTATTATTAGTCGTTACCGAACAACATAAGGTAGCTCTTAAAGCTTTACATAATGCAATATAAATATAATTTTTGTTTTTGTCATTATGTAAATGTATTCAGTAGGTTTTAAACTGTTTATACGTCCATAAATATACGCGTAAAAAACCATCTGCCGTATGTAATCACAAATAAATAAATACAAGTTTATCTATGGTTAAACGGAATTATTTCAAGAATTCCACATAAAAACACCCGATAATGCTTGAAGATATAACGCGTGTAAGTCTGGTGTTGTTCAGTAGTTTCTATATTTTCACGTAAGCCGTGTAAGTTAAAATTACGGCATTTCAAAATGCCGTGTACAGTCGAATTTCACACGGAATCGTACTTCGTCAGTAATGATTTATCGTTGCCTGCAGATATAGATTAAATAACTCTATGTCATACTCCTATATATATATATATGTATACGTATATTTTATTCTATACTTTCCACCCATAACAGTGGCACACTCATCACCAGTGTCAACTGTATTGTCGTTTTTCCATCTGCCGCATTTAGTCGGCAATATTATGTAGGTACCTACGATGAGTGCCTATTTATAATATATGCGTATAGAAGAATCCCGGTCTAGTCCCTCTCCTAACGATGTCAACGAGGACACAATATTATTCAAGGTATAATAAAAATACATAAGGACTTGTAATACATTATTTATGTGACGTTATTACGTTGTACACAACGTCGGCCACGTGGCTCAGTACATTATATTATTTTTCCATCGATTTTTCAAACGCGCGCGTCACCTTTATCACGTACCTAACGGCCTGAGATTGATTACGGCACGCGAGCAACTAAACGACGACGACGACGAGGACGAAAACGACGCCCCTGTACAATAATAAATGGATCGTCATATTTTTGTTTAACAGAAATCCGGTAATAAAACCGTAAATACATTAGTATCACGCGCGTAGACGATGACGAACACGGAAAATAAAATGTCCAATAAGTTTACGTTCGTAGAAATATTACGCATTATACGACATAGCTGAGAGTTACCGTACAGGTTTTGAGCGCGGCGAAGGTACAATATCGGTTTCACTACGATCGCGAATTTGTTTTTTCACTCGGAATCGCATCTCGTCAGCAACTGATAAGCCAAACATAAATTATACAGCTTAATGCATCCTGCCGTCCCAACTCACGACCTCCAAAAGTTTCACGCCCGTCAGCGGTATTAGCTCTCATTTATAAATGTATTTCAATATTTTACTGCAAACATCACACAAACGTTTTACTACTAAATGATTTTAAATACCCTGCGTAGCAAAGAGAATATTATTAGTTTAATTATGACGTGTATGGGTTATTTTTTCTCGGAAAATACTTTTTTGATTGGCTAAAGCGCTTAACTCTGTATAGGTATATTGTAGCGCGTTTCCGCCCGAGTGCCTGACACGTTTCAAAATGCGTTTAGCAAATTTTCCTCTTGTTACTAAAAACAAAAAACAAAAATGTTTTTTTTTTATTTTTTTTATCGTTTTCTCGTTCGCGATTCGATAATGTTAGCAACTTCAGTAATTCGCATTTTGTTCGATTTATATTTTGTAATAGTTTGTTATTTAAATTTAAATTTTTTTTTTTTTTTTCTATTGGTTTTACTGTTAAGAACGTCGGTACGGTTAATAATCAATAAGGAACGGATGACTGGATTTCTACACAAACAACAACAACAACAACAATAATAATAGTATTGTCTCTCGTAGTCCGTAGTTTTCAAAACGCAATGCCATGTTTTGTCGTTGGTACACCTGTTTTGATGTTTTTCGTAATTTATTACATAATAATAATATGTTGTTGTGTTTATAATTATATTTTAGTTTGCAATGCGGACATTATTATAATAATTTAATTAACGCGATCGACTTTCTACGCGCTATTATATACGTGTGTTAATAATTATTCTTCGTAAAGTCGTATGCGGCGGTTATTGCTTAAAAATATAATTATTTCGGTACACGTTTTTCGATTATTGATTATTATTTTATAATTGTCCTCTGGAAACGCGGATAAATTATACGCGGGTACACACGTAATAATTGAATAAATAGACAATAGACGAGACACGAACGTTAAGTACATTTCCATATTTCGTATATCGAACGAGCACTTGGGACCTTTGTTCGGGAGGGGTGCTCGCGAAGGCCGAGTTAAAATTTCAACACGAATTTCCGCGTGATGGTATTGTGAGGTGGGTATTTTTTTTTTTTAGTTTTTAAACCCCTCCAAGTTAGATCGATGAAATGCTGTATATGTCTCGAATAATTTTATCCCACTCTCCCCAAAATTCGTATGCCTAAAGTTCATGGTATTGGGGATTGTCATAATTTTTTCTATAAAAACGTATTATTGTGACGGAGCTCTAATGTTCATCGCGGATGTCTTTCTATTATTTGATATTACAATATTTTTTTTATTACTTTTATAAAATTTGATGCTGCCTAGCTATTTCCAAACATATTTTAAAATACATCATCGTATAATATTTGAATTATACGTAAATAGTTTTAAAGAGCTTCGGCGGCCTTTAAGTCAGTGGCGTAGGTATTTATGGGGGAGAGGGGATGTTCCACGGCGTCCGGACCACCTCCCCATTGATATCTAAATATCTAATATGTAAATTAAAAGGTTGAAAAATTGAAATTTATTGTGGTTTTTCACCCACTAAGCTGTTTTAGGTTAACACTTTAGGATACAATTGCTGGGTTGCATAAACGATCGATAAAAATAGCTCGATAAGGTGTGCTATCGGGTCAATAAACTATTATGTACATATCTCTATCGGTTCCGTATAGGTTACGATTACGAGGTTATCGGTCGTATATTTAACCCGGCATATAACTTCGGGTTTGGACCAATAGTGAAAAATGTAGGAAATAGTGTTATGATATCGGATATTTTACAAATTTGTGATAAGCAATCAAAAAGCCGATAAGACAATTCTATTTGCGGCGGCTTTGGCTCGTTTCACATATTAGAGAACGCTAAAACGCAGTCGGGGAATCAATCGCGTCCGGTATCGCGACGGTCCACATGTCATTGGACATTAATGCGTACACTAACGACGGTTTAATACAGTTTTTTATTTTTTTTATTATTCCTCGTCCGCAATAAAATAACGCCGAATATAAACCGGCCGAAAGAGCTTAATTAACACGCGATTAACCCTATTCTCGCAAGGGGGTTTGACAATATCCTTATTAAACATTCGAAAACTTTTTTGCGTTTATTCGCCGTTAACGTCGCCGTTTATTTTATTCGCTCGTTTATTTGGTTTTTGTTTTTGTTTTTTATATCCCCCGTTTTTATTTTCTCTGGATCTTCTTCTTATTATTTTTTTTTTTTTAAATATGTCTACGTTACTTATATACTTGTATATTCGTTTTCGTTTTACGGAAAAAAAAAAATAAATTTATTACCATCACCGTGTTTAACGACGTATCCGTTTTGTTATACGGGAAAAAAGCGCGGTGTTAAGATTTTTAATTAGATTAGTTTTCTTAACGGTAGCAATAATAAATAATGTATCTGCAATAAAATATGGTCCGTTTCTGCCCTTCGACCTCGCGAGTTCAAATTTTGAAGAGACCGGAAAAATCGAACCTATCGAAACTCGAGACTTACATTTGTACATCTAAATAGGAATTGAAAACTAACCTCAAAAAAATGTTGTTATGGACATAAAATCCAAATAAAACTAGAACATTTTAAATATTTATAAATAACTAAAATAAAAACGTCCGAGTATTATACAAATTGAACCATTCGATAAAAAGTACTAATTTAAGTATATTATGTGAAAATATAATGTCTCTATGATTTTTGGCGGAGAATTACGGGAAAAAAAAATAAAATATAAATTATATTAGAAACTAAGTGTAGTCATGTAAAATATATTTCCATTTTCCCGACGTATTTTTCGGTTAAACGTACAAAGAAAATCAAAACCGGACCACTTGGTTGCACCGAGTAAACGGAATTTTCTACCGGAAATCACGCCTGATGTTGGTGATCGGAGCAAAATTCGTTTACAGAAAGAAAAACAAAAGTCATAAATCACAGTGAAACAAATATTGCATTACTTTTTCAGGTCTAAAACACAAATCCTTTGCATTTATCTGCAGTTTTAGAATCTAAAACCGAAATCTGGCAGTATTGAAAATGAAAATGTGTTCTATTAAAATAATAGAATTCCTTTGTCGTCGATATATTATACTTGTACGACAGTCGTTACGACGGGTTATCTATGTATGCGGGGTTAAGCAAAATGAAGTACTATGCAATGTCTATAATAAATTATAGACGGTAACAGTTAATATAGTTATCACCCGGAGATCACTGTAATCTCGTTTGAAATCCATTTCCCATTTTCAGTTCGCATTTTCTCGATCCGTTCGTGTAACCACATTATTATCTTATGCCGCGTGATATACACATTAACGAAAAAAATAAAAGTAAAATGAGGAATGGGTAAATTTATGTAGGTATACACATAATAATAAAGTAAATATTACTATTCTTTTTTTTTTACTAATACCGAATGCGTATTATAATAAACAAAGTCGTTTAAAATATTATCCGAATAAGGTATTTATGTACAATATCATATCGTGTATTATTATTTTTAGTATACCGGATCAAAGCATCGCGATAAAGTCGTCCGTAAACCCCGACATGCGTACACGATATTATAATGTAAACAAGTATATAATAATATTCGTCCGTAAATCATGACCGTTGGCTATAATGGAAACTTTGATAGCGGCGGACCTCTGGGATATACATAACGTTTTACATAATATTATATTGTGTGTTTAACGTCATATCATCAAACGAGTATGATATTACGGTCTGACTTAAAGCTGGGGGACGCGAACGGGTTGAAAAGTTAAAACGAAAAGTTAATACTTCAACTGTAAACCATTGGCGTTTTTTTTTTTTTTTTAATTCGCCTAACTTACACCGTATACATACACAACGTGATGAAATATAACGAGTTAATTTTGAATTTTATCGGGCGTTGTGTTAATTTTTGATTTCAATTGAACACCATATTAAATGTATACAATCTATACATACACCAAAGTTGGACAGCAATTAGTCGAAAAATTAAACGTTAAGTTATATAGGTAAGTTAATTTTTTTTTTTTTTTTAAATAAAAAAATTTTCACTTAGCTAGTTTAAAAAACAATAATTTTAGAAACTATAAATTGGTTATTTTTGTAAATCAATAGTTTTAACTTGACTTGGTTATTTTGATATGTATAATTTGTTTTAAAATCGTTATTTGCGGTTTTGTTGTACAAAATACTGCGTAGATGATTATAGGTAGGTATCGATATTTGTTGCATTTATATTCCGACGAAAAAAATGAATTTTTACTAGTATTACGAGTGATATGAACACAAGTGCACAACCAAGTCATTCCAATATTTTTTTTTTTTTTTTTTTTTTGAAGTATAGTCGGTAGAACTGTGCGACTACTTGCGCCGAGTTAAGGAAAAAAAAAGGTAAGTGAATAAAAAGCAAGTGGTAAAAAAATAATATATTATAAAAAGTAATATTATCAGTAGTACAGATATAGTACCATCTATATGGTTCACGAGATTTTAATACTTTTGGCTATGTTATGATAATATTTTAAACGTATTCACAAAAATAACTATCCGAGCAAGTTATCGAAATCGAATGCAAATTTCTTAAACGCCGTAGCATATCATATGCGTTCTAAATAAATACCATTTTTCATAGATACCTACATATTTTTTTTTTACATTCTATGTAGAATATCCATGTGCATATACCATTTATTTTCTTTTTTAATTCAGAATTTTTTTTTTTTTTTTTAAATTTAATACAAATATGTTATTATTGTATCTATGCATGATGCAATTTACTATTATTTCATATGACTTGAATTATAACAATAATATAGTTTACCGATTGATTTTTAAAAACAAATAATTATAAATTATAAATCATGCTTGTATAAATACAAATTTCCGTTTTCCAACTGTTCGTATTTTGAGAGAAAAGTATTTAGACGATTTATTTTTTCCACTACATTATGCCATAGCCATATGCTTGTTTTAAGTTGATTTTTGTATATTCCGTACTTACGCTACAAATAGTAGTCATTTTTGTTACTTTCGATTGTCGACCGCAGATTTCGATAACTTGCTCTTGACAGTTATTTTTGTGAAAACATTTAAAATATTTTCATTGGACGTATAATATATAGTCAACGGCATTGAAACATAGTGTATGTACATTATTACTATTATATTACAACTATTATGTGGTAATATATAATATTACGTAGTGCTAACCAGCAATATTACTTTTGGCATTACAATATTTAATATAAATATATTGATTTTTTTACCACTTGTTTTTTTTTTTTTCTTTTCCGAAACCCACTTAAGTCGACTAACGAAAACATTTGATTCTCTTATGACCATGATTTTGGTTGAATAAACGATTAATGACTATAGAGCTTCCTGTTTCACATGCACCTACACGTTTTCACGTGTTCACGCGAAATTAACATTCGAGTCTATAAAATAGTGTACTTAAGAAATTCGTGTTCACGTGTAATTATTCACGTGTACACGTTAAAAACCTCGCATATAGTACCGATACAGGATTTCGGTGTGTCTGTACAATATTACAGGTTCAGCGTTCGCGTTTTAAAAGCGATATGAAATAATTATATTAATATCAACTATCGAAATAAATAATAGTAAATCGTTTGCTTTCTCTGTAAATACCACGCGACGATACTACGTAGGTACATATTATGTAGATATAATTTTATATTTTTTTTTTAATTTTTTTTTTTTGTGAAATGCATGTATACTAAACGGTTCATTAAAATGTCCGTGATCAATATAATTTATTGTTGTTTTAGTTGAAAAAAAAAAAGCAACATCGAGTTTGTTATAATTTTGGTAAGTAGATAATTTTTTTTTTCCAGTTTTCAGCTGTATCAAAACAAAATGTATAATTATAATAAACGCGCTCAACTAAAATCGATTTCGTGTACTGTTATTGAATACTCGGACTAATGGATTTTTTCATTTTTTTTTTTTTTTTTTTTTTTTTTTCCCCGTATACGGATAAAATACATATATAGACACGCGTAAGTACAATAATATTAATTACAAGTGATATTTTTTAGGCGAGTGATTACACGGCGCGGGGAGGATGGGGTAGAGTGGAGTTCTTTTTGTCTCCCCGATTCCGCTTCATTGCAGACTGCGCAATAAATATAAGAGAAAAAGGCCATTGGCACGTCTGACGTCGTGGCAGCGACGGCACGAAGAAAAGTCGATAAGATCCCGCGGGACGAGTCCCGTCGCCGCTGCAGCCGCCACCGCCGCCGCCGCCGCCGTCCGTAAGTGCCTCGGTGTACTACACCCGCGCGGGTTTTCCGGCGCGGAAAAAGTCGGTGCGCCCCGGTGATCGATGACACTCGCGGGGTTCCATCCGGCGCGTTTTATACATTAAAGTTCAGGTTTAAAACGCCGACATATATCTATATATACATATATATTATTATATACGACACGCTCGACGTGGACACGGGGACGCGTCCGTACGAAAAATCGGCGCGGCCGTTGGTAAATACACAACGGTATCGGATTACGTCCGCCGCCTCCGTCGGTCCCGATCACGCCGCGCCGACGTGCAGTCGAGTGACGGACGCGCGGCCCCGTAGGTAGGGCGGGGGGGTGTGTGTGGGGGGGGGTCGTCCACGACATTTCCCCGCTGGCCGGCCTTCCGACCGCCGAAATATTATTGCGAGACCGCGGACACCCTATTTGGCCAGCGCCGGTTTTGTGCGGGAGAAGTCGGTAACCGGAGTTCGAAAATGTCGGCGGCTAAATAAATCTGCAGCTGCAGTTTACGGTACACGCGGACTACGCATACGGTTAAACTATTTCGAAAACAACGTACACCAGACGGTGAAACGATGCTGCTCCGTACTCTGAGGTGTGTACCCGTGTACACTATGTTCTACAATGTCATCCGATAAAAACCGAAAAATCAACAGTTCTAGCGATTCCGTGTATCGAATGAGCTCAAACTCGGGAACAAGAGAAGTTTTACTGGCGGATTGTAACGATAAGAGTTTGGTTGAATTCCAGTATGAATTTAACCATAGCGTTCCGGGTGTAGTATGTTTTTTAGTTTTCTACATTCCTGCAGACCTCCCGCGCCCAAATAAAGCCAGGGGTAAAATTATATGTATTCTGTGTATGCATATCGTTAGTATCAATAAGCCATTTTCATGCTCAAATTTTGTCATTTATTTTCGTTTTTTTTTTTTTTTTTTGCAAATATATTATCTCCATTTGTAGCATAGTGTACATATAGAGTATTGTATTATTATTAGTATTCGGTTATATATGGTTTAACAAAGAATATTTCTAATGTAATACGAAATAGTCAGGAGGTAATTCGACTCTAGTGACGGTCGCCGAGCTACAGAGATTCCGTCTGACATTATCGGCCGATCGCAGTCTCCGCGTATATATATTTTCGTGACATTTTCCATTTTACTTTTACTTTTCTTTATTATATAAAGGTGCGGTGGCCTTTTCATCCCTTTCTAGAATAAAAAGAGATCCGTAAAAAAGACCGTTCCGGTTTCCGTCGTGCACGATCTCGTTAAAACGTCGTCCGAAGAACAACCGTCTTCGACGCGGACGTATATAACTGTATATTATAATAATATATTATTCAAGACGACGGTTTATATTTATAAACGTTCGGTGGTAAGATTAAAAAATAAAAAAGGTAGTTTTTGTTTATTTTTTTTTTAAGGTGAAACTTTTGGCCATTATAATACGGACGCAAACAAATAAGTTATTTTTTTTTTTTTTTTAGAGCTCAATCGCGCGTTATGACCGGATCCTATAGTATCTTAGGAATCTTATGAATACTATATAAATTATAATAATATATTTAGTTACTCTAAAATCCACGATATTATTTTTCGTAAATTGACAATATTAAGTGTCCTTACACGTCGCAATAATAATCATTATTTTAGAGGCCCGAAAGTAATATCATTTTCCGAATTAACAGCAAATTTAAAAAGAAAAAAAACCTTTAACGGCGTTTCTCATTTTATCCAGTCATCCGTTGATTTTCAATTTCCCTAGGTTCAGCCCCACGTAAAAACAGCAGAGATTTATTGTTATTATTATTATATTTTTTTTACGTGATAAAACTGTCATCATTTTTAATTCCAATTTCTATTCGGATTTTTATTTTTTTTTTTTCTTGTTTACTTCGGTAACACAGGGAAAGAATACGTTAAACCAGTTGTACAAGCTCAGTTCAGAATCTTTTTTGTTTGTAACTTTTTGGCTTACCGATTTTCCATTTTCAATATTAAGTCACATGTATTTTTTTTGTTTTGTCGCGGTTTTTCAACTTTTGCAATTTATCAAACGGATAAAAGTGTGATATTGAATTTTAATTCCATTTCAAAATTCATTGAATATAATTTGGAAGTTTCAACGATATTTGATTTTTAAATGTCTATCTTGTTTTTCTCGCTACGCTGTACACTTTTAGCGGCCCTCTCTGGACCAAACAAACTCGAACTCACGAATTCGATTTTTTATTATAGGCAGATTAAAGTAATAAACGTAGGGATGAATTTAACATTTCGGTATATTTAAAGAGGGGTAGGTTGTGTGTTTTTTTAGTTTTGATCGCCCGAACAGACTTTCCAAATAAACGTAATATTTAATGTATGAATTATGTTTGTGTCATAAATGTGTCTTCTTAAAGGAGGTTCAATTTTCCAGTTTCAGCCTCAGAATTTGTGTGCTCTATAATATAGATGTATGTGTTTGTTTTCTTGTAACAAATTACTATTGGTTGTCTGTGTTAGAACAAAATGAAGACAGTAAAAACGAAACAAAACAAAAAAAATTATGAAATCTATATAATAAGAGTGACATCTACGAGTATTTTGCTCATATTGTCGAGTATAAATTCGAGTAGATCCGAAATGTGGCCCCGAGGGGAATCCTCTCACATTAACACCCAGGATTATTTAGCGATTTTACTATGCACCAGCACTGCAATGTTATCGTTAATGGTAAACGCATGTCTGGTGTTCTACGTCGAGTACTATTGTGTTGTTTACCGAAACAAAATAACATATCCGCCGCGCATACAGTTTTACAGTAAATTTTATAGCAACAATAATATCGACGGTATAGGTCTCATCGAGTTCGGGTCCTCTCATCGAGCCCCCTTAATATATTCTAATCCCACGCATAGCACACCAACCGTAAAGCGTATAGGTAGTACGCCCGACGTTATTTCCAGTCATTAATTCGAAATGAAAATAATAATATCCGGCGGCAGCGGCGGCCGATAAACCCCTACACGTGCACCGCCAGGTTAGGGGAGGGGGTTGTTTTTAATACACTATATACATGATTCCCCTCCTCCTATCGCGTGTACAGTACCGTAACCCTTTGAAACGTTTTGGGACAAAATCACCGCCCTCGTCGAGATTCGTGTGGACGAGGGGGACCGAAAAAAGCTCTTTGAAAAAAAAAAAAAAAACGGCCTCAGGGAGAAAAAATACGCTTCGCAGAATCACGACCCTGCGTTCGTGTTTTTTAGTCACGTCGCCGGTCCGCGTGCCGTACTGCTGCAATCGATAAAATTATTACATTACTATTATTACCGCGGGACAGGGCTCTCCGAATTCATTCATCAACACCTAAAACCACGGAGATGGAAAACTTCGTAATCGAATTTACAGAGTTATTGTTATTATTCGGACAAAGTTTTTAATTTTTTAAAATTATTTAGGCAACAGATAAGCGCGCGAGATATTGAGCTATGCGAAATTGTATAATGCATAAAATATATGCAAGCTTTAAGTTGAGTAAATCGAAAATTAAAAGTGATAAAATTCGAGTCGTATTATCATTATTTGAAATTTTATTTCCTTAATTTTAATTTATATAAACTTATGGAAAACGAAGTGTAAAGGCATTTAGCGATTCCGTGAGCCAAATATACTAAATAAAGCGAATGTATTTGAATTTGATTGTTTAAAGTATTATATTTTACTTATATTGCCAAAACTTTAATATTGGCTATGTCTATTATTTCATAAATATAATGTCTTAAATATTTTGATTTTTGATTTCTTTAATAATATTATCTTTGGAAATATTCACGTAAACATTTTTCATTAATTTGATATATTTATTACGCTTTAACGCGACTTGTTTAGCAATTTTCGAATCGAGTGATTCGATGAATATCGAATAGGTAATTGAAATAACATATAAAACTCTAATTATCATAACATAATATGTAATAATAATTTTAGTACCTTGATATAAAAAAAAAAAAAAAAAATTGAAAATAATAAAACTATTATTTCCGTATATTTTCTCGTTATTCCTATATTTTGTTCCGATTTCGTCCAATTATTCACTAAACTACGCGGAAAATCAAAAACGACTTTCTAATACACTAACTAAACAAAATTTTCTTTTAGAAAACATGCAATTTAATTTCGGTGCTGGATTTCTTATAAAGAAACAAATTGACAAAATTTTAAATTATGAAATCATTAACGCTGTAGATCTTTTCTTATTTTTTTACGTTTTTTTCCGGTTTTCTCAATTATTTTGAAATCTGCTTGGAAAATCAAAAAAATTACTTCCTCGATAAACCAAATAGAAACAGAATACAACAAAAAAAATGTGTAGTACTCTCTTGTCATTTTTTGATTAAAGCAAAATTTGTGGTAGAGAAAAACACATATGTATAATTCGATGATATCTACTGACTACTACTGATATTTAAGTAGTTTATAGAATAAACATTTAATATCATATTAAAATTTAAACAAACTTAAATTAACTTAACATGATAAATACGAAAAAAAAACAAAAGCTAAAAGCTGTGACAATAGTTAAACTAACTTAACTATTTAACTATTTAATTAACTGGTTAATTTCCTGCAGCCTTGTAAATATGTTAAAAATATGTGAATGACTTGTTAAATAACCAAATAAGAGTTCAGTCAAAAGATAAGTAATCGTGTAATATAAGCAGGTAAATTTGACGCAAGTGGGTAATAAATTGCCTATATATGACCCTTCTCTATTCCTCCGGTCTAAACTTTAAACTGTTATAAATTTATAACTCATAAACGGTAAATCTGGTATTAGTGTTATGCATATAAAAATGTCTAGGAAAATATTCTCTATTCAAGTCTGTGTTCGATAAGGGGGTTAAAAGTATGCACTTATTTAAGGTATATGGAGTTGGGTTAAAAATTAAAAATGGTTTTAAAATAAAGCTTAAACAATTCCATAATGATAAGAAAAAATGTAAATCAAATTCACTTAAAATCCTCCGAGATAATTGCTGGTTCGTGATAAAAAAATCTCCCTGTATATATATATATATATGTGTGGTTCACACTTATCCTAGCACCTGACTTTAAGACTTTGACTTGAAAATTATTTCATGAATTAGTTAATAATTTGCTGTAATTTTTCACACAAAATTCGGAATTCGTTAACTCGTTTTAATTCTCCGAAACAGTATTTTTATTTCCAGGTGAAGGAAAAAGCTTTTCTCAATATCTACAAAGGTCAAAAATGAACTTAAAGAATTCAAATCAACGTTCAATGATATGATTAAATTTGTTTTTATTTATTATCTAACATTCGGGGTTTTGTTAATAGTTGGGCGCTAGGGTAAATAAGCTAGGTACGTTAAAAAAATATGTACCAATTAATCTGCAATATTCATACCTCCCACGATATTCCTAAGTCAATGTGACTTGAATTTATCATAATTATCCGTACTTTGCACTACCGAGATAACGACAAATACGATCTATGTATTATTATTTTTTAGTTTGCGAGTTTTCCCTCGATTTACATAATATTAATTTCATTTTTAAACGGTTATTATCGTTTCGGTACATCACCGCTAATTTAAATTTGTAAAAAAATTCTCACTTAAAAATTTTAATCTTCCGTGTAATTTTGTGCATTGGTATAGTAATTAAGCCTCGAAGCAACTACTCAACCAAGGCCGTATTTAGAGGGCAATAGGGACTGTTTCCACAAATGGCGGCTAATTTTGATGGAGCGAAAATTGTTTAAATGTTTTCAATGTTTATAATGGTAATTTAACTCCTTAGAGCTACTAATTTCTTATGTTGTCAAAAAAAAAAACAAAAATCCAAAAAAACTGAATACTCTCCAAGATAATGAGTGTCTTAGAGATTCTATAATATAGAACGATACAGTCTGTATAGGGTCTGATAATAAGCGATCGGGACTAGCAACGGTACGCGTAACTACCTAAATTTTTTCCGCGAAATCCAGTTTTTAATTACGGATCGAAAAAACCTATTTTCCGGAATCATACAGTCTGTGAATATATTATTTTTTTTCCAAAAACGTACAATCCGGGTTTTGAAGGTTGACGGTAACATGCAGTCCGAGTGTTTACAATCCGGGAACAAACAATCCGTACAAATACGTTTTTGCGTATTTTTCGATTCCAGGTTTTTACGGTCCGTGACTATACGGTTCATAAATTTTATTTTTCCGCATTTCAACATTCCGTGAAAATACACTTTTATTCCAGAATTATACAATCCGAGCAAATACATTCCGAGATTTTACGGCTTCCCGATTACTTATATAAATAATAATTTTCGTCGTTTAATACATTTGGATTTATTCTTTAAAAAAAATAAAATAAAAATTGCATCAGAAACGCTCATATTTTACGAAAAATAAACAAAATTAACTTTCTTCGGAAAGTCTTTTGGAAGGAAACCCTCGAAATAAAACCGATTGGCTTTTTAATAGGTATATAAAATAAATAATTAAAAAATAATTATCATTGCATCGCCAATCCCGGCTTTTAGTAAGTTTCAACAATAGTAATAATAATAATAAATAATTATCACTAAATCATCAAGTACCTTTGACCTTCCGTTTACCTTCTTAGAACTAAGAAGAACTGAACGTTTTTATCAATAACAATAATAATAATAAATAAACGTGCACCCGTAATTATATTTTCGAAAGCCTTGGGATAACGACTTGTAGGAGGTCTCGAATATTCAGCAGCTATCGTTAATTTTCAGATACGCAATAAAGTGAAGCGGTCGCGGGTACACGTGTCGAAATCAAAATCAAATATTTAAACAAAAACAGTTTTCCGTTGAAGTTTGAAATCATTTGTCGTACTTTGCGAGTCATATAATAAATGCGGTCCGTTTATACAGGCGGTCCGCGCAAAGGGCTTACCGCTTAGTTTACTATGGCGTACGATAAAGACGCTTACGGGAATATTTTCTGGTAAGTACGCCGCCGTTAAATCATTATATCCCTGTAAGCATTCTCCTGCCGCCACCTGTTTCCGTCTCGCAAAGTTAATTAACCGATCGATTTGAGCGCCATATCGTTCGGCGGCGGCGGCGGCGGCGGTTAAGACCGGTATAATGATATTACCCATCGATGTGTATTACCGATGAATTAATACGATTATCCGAGAGCGCGAAACGAACACGGAACTGCCAAAAGAATCATTATAAATTTAAGATTCCGTACGGTTTTAACGGGGTGCACGGTAAGTATTGGTTTTACAGCTATGATGCACGTTTGATTTTCCGCCGGTTAACGACCGTTCCTATCGGAGATCTTCGGGGATAGTTTATGGCGGGAAAATGTTGTCTAGTCGGCGCATTGAGGATTGCGTTTTTTTAAAAACATTTTTTTTTTTTTTTTTTTCATTGTAGTTTTCGGAAATTAATCGGACAAAAACCATAGGGAAAACCGGAATATTTGCGCAATAAAGGTTTGACGTTATTTTCGATTTTGTTGTAATTAAATTTTAGAAATAATCTTAGAGAAGTGAAATTTCACCGATAATGGGCATTAGGTACACGTATCAACACTTTCTATCAGTACGATTTTCAAAACATATTGGCAATTTCAGAGCTATCAGAGCATCTGAAAAATTATAGAAAATTAACAATTTATCATTAGCGAACATTTGTAACACCGTCCTTTTCTTTCAAATTAAATAATTTATAAAATGGCTAATTTAAAATTTTTAATTTTGAAAAAAAAAAAACACAAGAATCGTGTGTGCAAGATTGGTAATAATTATAAAAAAAAAAAAATAAATAATTAACAGAACAAAAGTTATTGCACTTGTCTCTGCGGGACACCAGGTATGTAATGCGTATCATACATGCAGACGAATTATTGTTCTCGTTACGAATAGCCGGTAGGTACCTGCATCTAAGGCGGCTTGAATACAGGGTGTTGGCGGGTGTTTGTTCTAAATGATATGTAATTCCACATTAAATATTTTTGTATGATGAATTATCAGTAACAATAATCAGAATACAATCATTATCATCATGGTTAATAAAACTGTTGTTCCCAATCTCAGAGCATGTGCATTGTACATTATATTTTCGAGTAATGTTTTGTAAAACAATCTGAAAACGGATTTTTCACGGGGTGCCGGTTATTATTATTTCGTATACTACACACGAACCGCCGAATAAAACATCTCAAGCAACCTCTATACCAGATTTCGTTTATATATTATATATTATTATAAATAACGTCGGAGTATAGGAAAATGAATAAAAAAAAAATAAAATAGTAATAATAATAACGACGACAATCTATGTGCCGCACGTACTTATACGCACGTCTAAAAAATATAATATATATAATAATATTATATTATTGCCTTACGGTCGAATGCGCTCTAAACGTATTCCGTTTGCGCTCCCGGTATAAGTATTCCGCCATCAGGAACATAATATACTTACCTATATAATATAGAAGCGTCGTGTGATTTTTCATTTTTTTTTTTTTTTTCCAAACCTCTCCTATATATTATTATTATATATATATATATATATATATATACTCGCACGGGGCAGAAATCTCGACGGCGGCGCACGCGTTTCGAGATTTTTTTCAGTTTTTTTCTTTCTACACAATATTATACTTTATATATATATATGTACACCTCTCCGCGCCCATGAATAATAATAATAATATATACTGCTATATATATATATATATACTACTAGACCGGAATAAAAAAAAAAATAAAAACGCCCCCTCAAACCCCCGCGGTCGCGTGTACACGTTTGTCAGGACTGTCTCGTGGCAACGGCGGTGGAGTCTGTCGATTAAATTTCATAATAATATATACAGTCGATATTATAACGAACGACTGCATCGCACGTATACACTACGCAGTACTCGCTAAACCGTATTATTATTATATACAGGGTGATTCTATCGTCAGGTGAACAACAAGACGAACATTTCGCGCGAGTCCCCATAGTATAATATATTGAAAATTTGATTTGTGGGTGTTTGTTTTTTTCCAATCTCTTTACTGCACTTTACAATATTATAATATTGTGATTTTGTGTTTACACGACATTTTCGAAATTCTACCCAGAGTTTGTGTACTGTAAACCATACACCCTATTTACGTATCATAAATATTTCAATTCGAAAATAAAAAAAAAAAAACGGCCTAGGATAATGGGGAAGGATGAAGCCACGGTTATAGATAATTTAATGTATACCTGTAAGCAACGATAAACCATTGCTGACGAAAAAACGATTCTGAGCGTAGTTCAGTTGACGATGATGCTTTATCAACAATACATATGTCATAGATATAGTATTATAATTAAATAGACTTAATATATTTTCTTTAATAATAATATTTGTTTAATGTTGTAACGATTTTTCTGTTTTTCCTGGTTTTCCCGTGTTTTTCGTATTTGCTGGGAAAAGTCTTAGGAAAATCGAAAAATTACATCCTTAAAGTACCTCCCTACACCGGTTTCCTTTCAGAAATGGTGCTACACGTCGAAATCCGAGTAAGTCTTCTAATAGAAAAGTTGTTAAGACCTTAAGTTTCTTCGCTCCACTCAGATTCTAAAATATTACTATTATTATTCTCTAGTTTCTAAGGCCTCTAATCTCCGGTGTTTGTCGTTTGCGCATCATGTTAACATTTCAACCTAAGCCCTCTACCCTTATCCGTGTGCAATGCTTTTTCTTTCCACTTCGAACCAAATAATTCCACGTCTCTTTTTCATTATATAATTCTCCCATTTCTTTCCAGAGTTTCCCAAAAGTATATTTTTCCATATAAATTCTGCGTCATCGCCGCTTTTTTGAATACCTCGTTTCGGCTCCTACAAGTTTGGCACGGCCATTTTATTCTTCTTATTATTACGTTTACTATTACGGTGATTTTCTTTGTAGATTTAAAAATAAAAAAAGTAATTTACAGTTTCTAATTGTATATATTATACATTTTAATTTTCACAACCTGTGTTTACACGTATACAGTAAACGAAATTATCAGAAAAAAAAAATAATAAGGTGAAGGCATGTTAAGTTTAGGTAAAGGAATTATTCATTGGTAATACCCCACTTCTCGAGTATATAATATATAAGTTATGAATATATTTTAGAAAAAATGCACTATTTTTCGAATTCTTCGAATTGAAAAACGAGAAAAACTATTTGAATTTCAACAATTGATTATACAGTATAAGTACGTATTTATACGGAATAGAAGTAAACATTTTGAAAACGTTGTATAATGATAGATCATTCGTAAAAGATTCGGTATTCTAATACATTACGGGAGAAGAACCCAAATTGAATTCACACGCAATTTTCATGTAGGTGTATATAACAGAATATTCGCCAGTGGTTCGTGTTAAAACAATCGTCCTGTATAACTCTATATGCAACCCTCACCGGTCCCCCAAGTCGCACTTTATTTACGTGTGTGTGTGTGTGTGTGCGAGCGTGCGCTTACCGGTATAATGAACTCTCGCGATGCAGTCCGCCGCCCTCCGAGGGCGAATTTATGCGCATTTATACGATATTATTTACGTACAATATATATATATATACTTGTAACCGGAGGAATGGGGAAAAAAAAAAAAGGGAAGAAAGGGGACGGTTACACCCGCCTCCCCAATCAAACGGATATAACTGCCCGGTCTATATATACAACGTGTTATAATAATATATCGTGTTATATCGTTTCCTTCCGAAAACGATTGGCACTGTAATAAATTTTTATTACGGGTCCGGGATCACGCGCACGCGTACCCAACCGTCGACGAGTTCCCGCAAAGGCGCAACAGTCTTCTCGGATCATTCGGGGATGTTTTGGTGTTTACTGTTTTGCCGGCGACCCCGGTCTGCAAAGATGACTGAAGTTAAATTTCAAATAAGAAACGACGACAATAATTATGAGGAGAAGGTGTTATTATATGTGCCTTAGAAAAAACTTGAAATACAAAATATACAGATGTGCACAACAAATATCAAAATATATCCCAATAATGCGAAAATGTACGAAATAAAATTGTGTATCGTAATCGTTGGATCATGAAACACATTTTGGTAAAAACTAGCTGTATATTTTATCAACTAATAAAAATATGACGCAACGGCGATAAAAGTCTGCTCTTATAATTTTTATGAACGCATACAGTTAATTGCTTCCAAAAAGTTGAAATAATTAATTTTTTGGAGTAAAAAGGACTGACTGGCATACTTTGCACGAAGGTTGGGTTCATACAACAGTTGCAGGTAAGAAGTTGAGACGCTAGGATAAAAGGGGGAAATGAATGTATATCTGTACGCATAAATTAATAACGATTGTTAACGAAAATCGATACTGAGAGTAGTTCGGTTATACAAGTTTTAAAAGACCATAATATTAACGATTTTCGTCAAAATTTGATATTGAAAGTCTTATAAAAAAAAAGTTCTACATTACACTCTTTTTCTTTTTTTTTTTACTACAAAGTATGACTTATAATTAATCTCCTGTTAATTTTCAAACATGTCTGTTTTATCTAACAATTTAATTAATAAAAATTACGTAAAAAATTGACAAAATTAAAATGTCTATAGCTCAAAAATGACTAAAATGTTTTGCCACGTCTAGAAAAGGCAAATATAAGTCTCTTGTACAGATTGCATGTCTTCATGAAGATTTTTAACTGAATCAGAAGAAAAAAAAAACTGAAAATATAATAAACTTCGTAAATTGTCTCAGTTTTCCTACGTATTTTTTTTTCTCAATTGTCATTAAAACCGATGAGATAATCAATAAATGACTACCAAAATAAAATTCACTTTCAGAGATGGTATTACACATGAACATCGGAGCAATATTTCTGGTAGAAAAGTTATTTACAGATACAAAACAAAAATAAGCATTATTGTAAAACCAGTAAATTCCTCGATTCGCTTAAAATCTAAAAACTAGTGTTAATTAGTGGGGGGAAATATCCGGATTTTAAGAATCCGAAATCTGAATGCCAAATTTTTTAATTCGAAGTCTAATTGTATTTAAAATCTGAGTTTTAGATTTTCGCATTCTTTTATTAAATTTAAAAAACAATCATAAATTATACATTTATTTAGTATTAATATAATGCGATTAAAGTAATGCGAATTATCTGAAAATCGAATTATTATTATTTTATTATAATCACCCTAAATAAATTCATCAAATAAAAATAAACAACTATGGGTGAAAAGTGGTCGCTGGCAAATATATTATAAACATTTTTTTTTCTCTTTATATGAAAAAAATTAATACACCACATTTTAGATTTATGTTGGTAGCAAATGATTAAATGCAAAAATATAAAATCTAAAATTTGAATTTTCGGATTAGTTGGTCCGAAATCCAGTTGTTCGGTTAATCCGCATTTATATCGAAGTACTATTTTATTTCATTGTAAATTTAATCACAGTAAATAAAAAAAAAATACCGAGCACGGAACATTCGAAACGCTATACATCTAGTGTGAATAACCCGTATGTTAAGTGGTGTTTGTCTTCGATAAACAATCATTCGTAAATTTCGTTTTCCTACCGATTTTAATATCGGATTCGATTATACGTCGTGACACTCGACAGTATATAAAATAAACTCGACGCGAAACTGTAATTACTGTATTCATATTGTTTTTTTTTTTTTTTTTTTTTTTACAATCCAAAGCCAAGATTTCCTTCAATCGTTTTTTGGGGATATTAAAAAATGTACCCCTTCAAAGTAGATATATGACCCCGTCTGCGTATCATTGGAATTTAGAACTCATCAATCAAAGTGCTTCGATGCCGTGAAAGTTGTTTAGGGTGTTCGTTGTCACGAAAAAATGTGTTTTCCAAAGGACAAAAAAAAACACGTTTTTCTAAAACTACCTGTATAGACCCCTACTGCACAGTAGCCTGTTGAGAATCTAAAACGAGTATCTATTTCTGTCTACAATATGGAAACGTTAACGGTTATAAATGAAGACAAGAATCCGTCACTGTGTTTTATGTGCCAAGCTGCTGCGTTTCTTCATGAGAAACTAACAAAAGTTTACAAAGGATTCGTTATTTTAGGCTTTGCGCGAAGTGAGTGAGGAATGTGTTGGTTTTACAATGATGTTTATTATTTTTTTATATAATATATTATATATTATTTATAAAAATTTTACCAGAAATCCTGCTCGGATCTTCAAGTGTAGAACGTTTTAGAACATTTATTTGGGGAAATTTGTTTTCATTAGTGCATTGGGAACGTCATATTTTGATTTTCTAAATGGTTTTCATAACTATTGAAAAAAACGGGAAAAGACGTAGGAAAACGGGAAAATTGATGAAATTTTTATTATTTTGAATTTTGTTTTTTCGTTATCACTCAGTTAAAAATACTCGTAATTTTGCAAGTTTTTTAAGTAATTATTTTTGGTATGTACTCTATGGATAAAATTGTTAGACCAAACAGAAATGCTTAAAAATTTTAAAATAAACTCTTATATGAGACAACGTTATCTTACTAGATACCTATAAACACCCGTGGCTGTATGGAATTCCACTTTGTCGGAAAGCTACAATAACAACGGTCCATGTATTTGGAGTTTGGTGCTGAAGCTCCTGATAGTATAATTTCCAACACTATATAATATGGTATTATCTTCTACAATAGACATTCAAGTCCCTGGCTACTCCCCCCCCCCCTTTTGAGTTTGTGGTACTTACACGGGACATTTGTTTGTGCTTCGTTAACGCACTTTGTCCCGTAGCCAGTGCACTATCTATTAATGAATCATTCGCATATCGTTCTGGGATATAATAGGGACATTATTGTACCCTAACTCCGAATTTTGAATCTAAATATGTTATGGATCTCTACACTAGATAATATGACCTCGTACACACAATTTGATTGAAATATAAAGAATGTCAAAAAAAAAATCTAATTAAATCTTAAGTTATGATATCTACTTAAAATATATAAAAAACCAATAATCTAATTATAATTAAAAATATAATTATTATTGTATTATATATTATTTATTATTATTATAATTATAAAAATTATAAAAAATGTATTAATACAAATAAGCGGTAGGTAGCTAAATGAACGGTCATGCGCGAGTGCGGGTGACCATTTTTGAGGCCAGCCATGGCCACAGCATCATGTGCCATAGATAACCCTATCAGAAAAATTGTGCAATCACTTGTCTTTGAGGTTGTATTATTAAAATCGTTTCTCCTCATAAAAAAAAAATTAAAATAAAATACCGCGATGATATACGAGATTAATAAATTTGTACAGCGACGGTTTTCGTGCACGTTTACATAATATGCATTTGTGATTTCGTCGGTATGAGTATCGGGTTCCAAAAATAATCACTATCGAAACATTTGATATACGACCGTCTACTACACCGGGTATTCAGTGAATAATCGCGTGCATCGCAAAAACAATTTGGAATAGACACCCCCTCCCCTCCCCGTATATATTGCTCGTAACGCTCAGAATCTAAAATCAATACCTACCTTAAAAACCCATACAACATGTCGGTGTCTATACGTTATCACTACATTTTAATTATGGTTCCAATTGATTTGAACACTCGCCATTAATGTCCGTAACTATATTATTAAATAATATAGTTACCAATATGACAATATTATGTATAATTATTGTAGTATTACAACATGTGGCATTTAAACGGCGAGTAAAAGCCCCCCCGTCCCCCCACCAGTAGGTATAATATTGTATACTTGTCACTATACAACTCGCTCCGCCATATATCCGAACACTGCAGTTTACGACGACAGCGTTGTTTAAGTTTTAATGCAAATATATGCGACGCGACATGCCGTGGCATAATATACTCGGTAAAGACTATAAACTTGTTATAACGTAGAATTCAGCAAACAAGAACAACAGTGATGATGATGATGATGATGATAATAATAATAATAATAATAATATAATAGTAACGAAAATGGCGGTGATGATAATAATATTGTAAAGAATTATCCGATCGACTGCAGTAGTGTTCAGCAGTTATCAATCTAAAATTATTATAAACATTGCCGCGGTATTGTTTTAAAAATGCGGCTATAATATTGTAGATTTACATCGAATTATAAAACAATCAAGTCCAAGTTAAGCGAAAAAAATTTAATTTAAAACAAAAAAAAAAAAAGACCACCACTGCAAGCGAAAAGTTTGGACGTTATATGATTAGGGTAATTTAGTTTATATACTGAAAGCAACGATAAATCATCTCAATCGAAAAATTGGTAAGGTTTCTTATAGTATAATAAGCCATCTTAAGTTTGTTCTCTTGTATCTAACGTAATTTAAAAAAAAAAAAAAAACTAACCGTAATTATTGTTGTCACTTTTATAAAATATATATTAGAAAAACTATAGTAAGAATCTAGATATTTTTTTAAATAAAATACGGCAAAAAACCCGCATATTTCAACGTACGATGTGGATAATTTCGAAAATTTTCACTAACCAAAAAAGCGTCTTTTCCGGAAAAAAAAAACCTATAAAACTGAAACTAGCAGGTGATAAATATTGAACTGTTAAGAATTTAAAAAGTTTCAAATGAAGTACCGCCAAATGAAAATGCTGGATATTTCAAGACAGGAACGGTATGAAAGAAACACCCGTGAAGAACAGATGACCCCGTGAACAAATTTTCCTTCGCTCATTTTGTGTTACATAAATATTCATTACAAAATAATAAATAACCAAATACTATAACACAACACAGTATAATACTATGTGCATTAACATATTATAAGATTATATTAATTCCAAAAGAAAAAGAAAATAAAGAAATTCGATCCTAAAAACGGTAGGGGTGGAAGTTGAAAGTTTAGAACCCCCAAAAGATACATCTTTGGTTCTAACGCCAGCATGTATTATTCATTTAGAAGTCCGTAGGAGTTTTCAAAGATAAAAAGTCACCCTCATTCAGCAACAACATAGTGAAATTCATATTGGAATTCCACCCAATTTATAATCACTTCAATCAGCCTCAATTAGTTAAGCAACTATGATTTCCGTGTTTGAGCTCATTTGATTAAATGTGAACCACTAAACGCGTCTAAAATCTAAATATACCAATAATAATAATAATAATAATAATAATAATAATAATAAAAGCAACACGGTTGGTCTCTATTTTCGGATACTCGAGCATTTTACTCACCAAAAAATACACATTTTCAAAGAAATTATAAAAAGCAATTTTTTTTGAAAAACTATTCACATCCAACCATCCTCTTTTTTCTGTACCCATTGCTTTTTCATCCTGGAATTATTCGATCAGCTGATTCTGAATATATTATAATATTGTAATAAAATAAGAGTTTCAAAATTAATTTTTTTAATAAATATTGTGTTTATTCGCGAAAATGTTGTTTATTTATGTGTCTCTTCTGTAAAATGTATACTATATTTATCTAAAACTAATATTAATCTTATATTATTAAAACGAGGGATAGAGATTCTATGTGGGCGATGAATCCACTTTCGAAAATGTTTGCTTACACCGCCCATACCATGCACCTATACAAAATGTTTAATACATGTTTTTAAAATAAAATCGAATTATCTATCTATACAGGTAAATATATATATTTGTATAATATTGCATCCGCTCGATTAAATTGTGCATTTCGTGAAAAGTTATCCAGTTCATGAAATGGTTTTCTATTTTTTACCACTTGAGGAAATATTTAAAAATTTCAATTCAGTTCAATTTAAAGTGGATACCTTTTCACGAAATGGATACTAAAATATTATACCGTGTATATTTGTTTCATCATATGGCCATCCACTTGGCGAAACAAAATATTTAGTCTTTATTACAGATATTATTTTGAAAAAAATTGGAATATGTAATTATTTCAATAAAGTAGTGTTAATACGGGTGATATCTAGGGTTGCCACCTCTCCGGGTTTCACCCGGATAATCCGGTTTTGCATATAAATCTACGGACTACGGGTTTCAGTGAATTATTCTCCGGGTGTATGTATTGTTATGTCATTCGCCAATATATTAGATAAAAATATAAAATACGATTTATTGATTATTGTATTATTGACTATACATAGAAGTATAGGAACAACATAGTATCTTTTGCTGACACCCTTTTTTTTTTTTTTTCGCTGTTTATTAGCCTGTCTCCGGGTCTTAGTACATTGTATATTTTTGAGATAAGATTAAAAAAAAAACAAGTAAAATCAGTATAGTACTACATTTTATAGAAAAAAAAAAAAAATTCTGTATTAATGTATACAAATTTACCGTTTTACCGTTTTAGAAATAATTTATTTTAATATGAGAGATTATTTAAAATTATTTATTATTGGACATAGATATGTTGAGAAATATAAATTATTTAGTTATTATTTATTATCTAAAATGTAATCGATATAAGATATTATTTTTAATGTCGGTTTGAACATTTAAAATATTATTAAAATTATTTCTCTCTATTTCATTGTGTTTGAGTAATTCTTCTAAAGTTGAATTAATGTAAATGCTATTTTGGGTATTTAATACATCTAAGTCTGTATGAATATCAAAGTTTAAATTGTGGTTATTTTCTAAAACATGTTTAGTAAAATTTGAATTTTAAGGGCAGTCTTTTTTAATTTTATTTCAGAAATGTGTTCTTTGTATCTTATTTTAAAATTTCTATTTGTCTTACCTACATAAAATGTATTGAAGTTACATTTACGTTTATATATACTAGCACTTTCAAAAGAAGGGGGATTTTTTATGAAGTTTTTAGTTATATTGTTTATATGTTTGATTAAATTATTATTAGTCTTAAAAGCGATTTTTACATTATTGGTATTATTGTTCAGAATTTTAGCGAATTCGTTAGACATATTATTTTGATATTTCATACTACAATAGTAGTGAAGGGTAATGAATTGCAAATCTTTTTTAATAAACGATAAACTGATAACTTTTCCCAACTTCTCCGATTTAAACTTTTAAACTTTCAACTGTTATAACTCATAAACGGTAAATTTGATATTGGTGTTATGCATACCGAAACCTCTAAATAAATATTCTCGAATCTGTACTAAAAAAGGGGCAGGAGGTTATTATTTGGAAGACAAATGTATGTACTTATATAAAGTATATGGAATAGAGTTAAAAATTTAAAACAGTTTTAAAAACCTTAGTTTTATATAAAAAAAAAAAGCTTAAATGATTCCGCAATGATGTAAAAATAAATAAAACAAATTCATTTAAAATCCTCCGACAAAATTGCTAATAAAAAATTATTTTCTATATTATATATTAAAAGTGTAGGAAATTCCACGAAATCAGTACGTATTTGGAGCCGAGTATTTATAATTTTTTGTTTAGATAGATAAAATGTCGAACATGGTTCTTTTTATTTGTTAGTATTTTTTAGATTCCGAGCGTAGCGAGGAAGCTATTGGTTTTACAATGTTGTTTATTTTTTAAATTTGCTCCGATGTATAAGTGTAGCACCTTTTCTGAGAGCTCAAGTTTAGATGGTACTTTGAAGAGATCATTTTTTGATTTTCGGCGCCATTTTTTAAATAAAAGCACTTACATGGGAGAAAATGTAGGAAAACGTAAAATTTCACAATTTTATTATTTGATTAAAACACGAACGACGTTTTCTACCAGAAAAAATGTTTTAATCGAAAAATCACAAGATACCTTTTTGGTTTCTTTCTTACGATATCATTGCCAAAAATTCTGAGCCACTTTTGAGCGTTTAAAGAATTTTAATTTTCGGGAGTTGTTTTACTGTAATTTGTTTATAAATATACATAGAGACTTGAGACTTGATAATAATACTTATATTGGATATACCTAGACGTGGTAAAATTATTGGATGACTTTTTTTTTTTAATAAGCGTTTTAAAATCAAATTTAAATGAAAAACGTAAAAAAAAAATTACGGCACTTTAAATTATGTATTACCGAACTCCGGTCGGAATCGTCTTTCGTCAAGCAATGGTTTATCGTTGCTTACAGATGTAAATGAAATAACCTTATGTATCCTACCTTCTCAACTTCCCACCTACAACAGTGGCTGCACCCGTCCCCAGTATCGGCTCTTTTTTTTAAAACATTTTTTTATCTTTAGGGAGGTCTAATCGGGCTGACGAATATTCCATGTACAAATAAGGCGAGTGCGATTTCTCAGATCATCAAACACAAGCAGGTACTATAATACTTAACGGAACTGTTAATCTTTGTAAAAATAAAAAAATATATATATACATATATATCGGCGAAATATTACATCGAACCGTTTACATTATATATCAATATAACATGATGCATTATTAAATGATTCGTGCTCGTAAATAATAATATTGTGTATAGTGAGTGGATGCGCGAAGAAGTTTGCATGATATCGAGTGGAGACGAGAATACCGCTCCTACGAGCGCATTGTGCATGGCGGGGAGGGTTTGGTGAAAGGGGGAATAAAAAATAAACTTAATTCCGCCGTGACAGTCTGAAAAGTACTTTATATTCTATATACATACATATATATATATACGATTGATTGTTGTAAACGGTTTACTTTTATATATTCTGTGATTTTCGCGAGAGAAACGCCGCGGAAAAAAGTGTATAATATTGATTTTACGCTACCGCGCGTACACCTTTGCCGCTGGGGTAGACGGCGTGGCGCGGCGGTAGTGGAGCAGCTTTCAGTCACGGCCATCACTCGCCGCCGCCGCCGGCGTGACGACGACGGGTGACGACAACGACGACGACGACGACGACGACGGAGGAGTGAAACAAGATGGACCTACATTACTTAAGGGAAAGGCAAAAAAATAACAAGCACGGCAATAGCTGGTGACTGCGGCGGGCCAAGGGCGGGCGAAAAAAAAGAACTTTGGATTTCGACGCCGATTTTCCGTCCTTCGCCATTTATTTATATACACTGTTACAATAAGCTATTTACGACAACGACGACAACAATAACGTTCGTGAAATTTAATAATAATACAATCTGCGAATCATGGTTCGTGAATAAATCGTAGAATCTACTTCCGTTATACTTAACCGGACAACGAGAAGCCGGACAAATGGAAATGCCAATTTTTATTTAACAAACCGAGTTTCTTGCATTGTGATTCGGATAAAATATTTAATTTCAATACACTCGTAGTTGTTCAATGTTTAAGTCAACGGGAGCGACATAAGCCCTAAAATCCCCCCCCACTTATGCACACCATTGGTGACCTCCTCCCGAACGCTATTACGCGCACCCCAAAACGAATAGTTGCACCTAAAAGATGTCTACTTTCGACAGGGAATCAGGACAGGGACAGGTAAGATTTCTTAAGATTTGTTGAAGAATAATAACGATATTAGTCATCGATCGGTATTAGTTGTTTTAGATTTCGATTTTATACCGATATAATGGACATCGGTTTCTATTCCAGTTCCAGCAAATACACATTGTTGATGATTATTCATTCGTTCATACTAATTTATTTCTATCGTAAAAATACAGGGATAAAATTAGGCATTTGAACATGTGTTTTTACACTTTTTACACATTTTGCATGACGGTCACGATATATTCAACATTGACATTTATCACGTATAGGCGCGACCACAATATTTTATTGTAATAATTATAGAACTATTCAAAAGCAGATATCCATAAGGGAGCAACTATATGTATATAAGCGACCACAGCGTTTCAGGAATGCTATGTCGGTGGTCGGCTGTTATCAACGAGTGTCATCGCCTATTGTCTATATTATTTTTCGGATAACATCAACAATAATGCATAATTCTCTCCTGCAGTCAGTTTCCGGTACGGACAAATTAAATTAAATTATTGAGAAAAAAAAACTATTATACGCATCACATAGAATATAATATAATAATGTGATAAGTGCCGTTTTAGCGAAACCGTTTTCTGAAGGAGTTTCACGAACCGAAAAAATTGTCACAGACGTATTACGTATTACCTACGCGTTTTTTTTTTTAAATTTTTTTTATCGGCATGTTATAATATTGTAACGGTATTGCGCTAAATATATGTTATTTTTCCGTAAAGTTTTCGTTCGCGGGCCGGCGGCTAATTGTTATTAATCGAAACAAAAACGACACGCGCAAAGTTATACGTCATAGACGCCACGTTCTTATTATAATAATATATGTATACTGTGGAGTAAAACTTTTTTCTGTTTAACAACTTTTGGGGAAAAAATACACCTCTACCTACCTATATTATTACTTTCCGAATATTGTCACATAATAACACAGTGAAGTTCGCACGCGATATTATATTGGGGCGATTACATTTATATTTTTTTTCCGTGGTATTTTAATTGTTGTTGACGGTTGGGCTCGCTTAATGCATATAATATGTCTGTGGCTGAATGTTAGGCGAGGGAGGTAAGGGGCGAAGAGCGTATCGTGTTTACCGGTAGTCTGCAGAATGGTGTGACGGGGAAATAAAAAAGAAGTTAAACGAAAAATGTTCATTTCCGCGGTATTTCGACATAATTATTCGTGTATACACACAGTTTTTTCCAACGATTTGTTGGCAGTTTTACGTTTACATAAAAAGTAAACGATTTTCACACCGTCCTGTTTCAGATACTTTTCATATACGCGATTCCTACATATGAAAATGTGAGTGCATACGATACATAATTTAATATATTATATAATAAATATAATATTTAATGTACAATAACAGATACGTACCTATGTGTATTTTAGTTATTCTATTAAGATTTTGGAAAAAGCACATATATTTCAACGACCGGTTATCGTAACGAAACTTTAAAATACTTACCTACCTGACCCGAGACTGGCAAAGTTACCGAATAGTATATTGACTCAGTTATGTAAATAGTTAACCGAAAATAAACAAACAAAAAAATATTATCCATGACCTTTATGTTCGGCAATGCCCAACATAACCAAACCTAACCCACGTGAATCAAGGCATTCAAAATGTCTAAAAGAGAACAGCCTGAAGCCGTAGTACCCGGTATAGTATACCTAGCAGCGATATTTATATTATAAACGACGCGTGCATTTTCGGGTTATTTGTATTATTATTATTTACTGCCGGTATATAGAATATCCTACAGTGTTATTCTTAGGCCAATCGTTCTGATTGTCACGTGATTATCACGTAACGTGTTGTTCTGTTGAAAATTAGTTGTTTTCACGCATATTCCCCATACGTCAAAGCCACTGTAACTAAGAAACTATTGATTGGATTTGAATGTATCACACACATTCAAATTTTTAGAATAATATATTTTTGAAAATGGCTATTTTAAAAATGTTGAAAAGCGGAAACACAAATTTCATCAAGTCAAACCAGAGATTAATGGATGACAGTAAATATAATATTTCTCTACACAATATGTGTTCCCCGCGCACAAAACCCGATTGAAAAGGACAGCGCCCAAGCAGGACACCCTGTATGCAGGTAACGAGTTCGACGTTATAGATTTATGGCCGGGATTCTGTAGCGAACGAGGTTGTTTTCCCGCGCAAACCCTATAGTAAATGACGGCACAATAAAAAGCTACCCCGTCCGCAGCGCGGCGGGGCGCAAGTCACATGTACACGCCAGTATATTATATATATTATAAGTATAACGTATATGTGCGTTTACGGATTGTTATTTCGGCAAAACGTACCTACGTATACGCGTACACGCGCACATTAATATTATATTCGCGTGGGACGTCCGCGAGAGCGAAAACTTTGGAAGGTAGGAGTTGTTATATAATATATAGTTCGATGCGCCTTATAAATAAACGCGTATGTGATCTATTATTATAATACCTATACAGTGTAGCTTGTATAGTCTATACGTACACGTCACAGAGACGTTGGTCTCGGTTAGGAAAAAAAAAAAAAAAAAAACGATATTGAAAACCCCGTCGTCTCGTCGTAAACGATATACACGATGATATAATTTATTATACATATAAATCTTATATGTAGGCGTTCATTTATATTTTATTTCAGTTGTAGACTAGAAATAAATCGAAAGTACGAAAAAGAGTTGTCACGTTCAATGGCGTTTTTACGATTTCCTTTGCGAGAGGGAGAATGGTGACTAAAAAATAAATACGAAATCAGCCTTTTATTTTTACTATAATCTATTCACGCGAAATCTTCCAGATATGATAGCCGCGATTTTACTTAAAAAATTATAGTTTGTGTTTGTTTATCCGCTTGGATCAAAAAAAGTCTCTTGTTATTTTTCCATTGGAGTAAGATTTCTGGTAGATAAAATATTTACAGATAAAAAAAAATAAATCATATAAATTATAGTAAAACTAATACATTCCTTGCTCTGCTCAGAATCTAGACATAATTGGTAAGTATGGAAAAAAATAATTGGATTGCGTTATCAAGACAGTTGTAACGATAGTGGTAAATGGTCGGGATGGAAATCGTTGAAAAATGTGTGAAAATTCAAAAGTAAGGCGGAAATGATAATGTTTTGTAAAGAGGGAAGAGGATTCTTTAAGGGGAAACCCTTCTGAACTAGGGAAGTCTATAAGTGAAATGCAACTACGGCGTCAACAGTTGTCATTATGTGTCTAAATGTTAGCCAAATAGGTTTTTTTTTTTTACACCATTGTCGACAAAGACGTGTTGATAAACCACCACATCTATGTAATATATAAATTAAATACGCGACAGTTTATCACAGTGGCCTGCAAGGGAGATTAGTCGATGTCCGAGTCTCGACGGCGGGTCAACGATGTATTGACCCGACTAATCGTACTCCGGGGGACTCGTATTTTTCACGAAAAACGACCCTCGGTGGTTCTATTTTTTATTTTTTCCTACGTGGAAAGTCAACAAAAAAAATTCCGTACCGAACATAAATAAATTCCTATTGAAATCATCGGAGTCCTAAACAGTTATATCAGTCGACATTTTACATATTATACATTTTCTCGAAACATAAAAAAATGTACAACAATGGTAATGTTTGATGGCGGGGAATGAATATAAAATGCGATGGTACACGCCATATGAGAACAATAATATTGTATTACAAGAAATGAAATAAAGTATTTTGCTTGTGTGAACACTGTGAACGAATTTTATATTTTGATATACACCGTATTGTGATAATATTATATAACGCCGACAAATTCGTTTATGACGACGGGAAAACGTGAATTTAAAAAAAATAGTATCAATTTTTTCAAGTCTAATCGATATTCGTGCGTTACTATTTCATTGCATGTAGAAAAAAATATCTGTATTTTTTCTATACTTTAAAAATAAAATACTCTTAAAAAAGGCCAGACAAACTTCCCACATTTAATGAACCAAAACAGAAGGTTGTAGGTGGGAAGTTTGAAAGTTGTAGCTGAAAGCTTGAGACAAACATATAGCATTTAACTTTATACTCTGATAGCAACGATAAATCATTGTAAATAAAAAACGGTTAGCTAATTTAAAATTACAATTGCTGAAATTATAGAAAATAATATCCCTGCGACCGGTATAAATATTAAATATTTTTATCTTATAGGCCTGTTTTTCAAAGTGTGCAAAATGCACTACCGCCTCTGAAAATTATTTTAATCTCGTAAAACCCTGATAAAAAAATATTCACACATATGTCTTACCAACTGAATAATTGAAAATATAATTTTTACTTTAAAATTTAATTGAATTAAATTTGTATACATACATATTTTGCAAATATTTGATTCAAATTCAATTCATAATATGATTTTTGAGAACCTCGGGAACGTAGCCCCCTATTCTTCCTCTTAATCCTCCTTTAGTCACATATACTACATACCCCTTGCACACGCCTATGTTTTATCTATCAAAAACTGTGTTAGTATTGTAATATTGTGCAATATTTTGTCACTATTCGAATGTTTTTAAAATAACACAATTATAGATTGTAGTTGAATGTATAAACGATATTTAAATTATTATTTTAAAACAAATTAAATTAAATATCTTAGTTTTTAAATAGTTGACAAGACATTTTTAAAATCCTTAAAGAACTAAATTTGTATTCAATACTCACGAATTAAATTTAATTAATTAATACTAATAATGGTATGAATAATATTAATTTCTTTGTTAATGAAATCAAATTTTTTAAACATTTTGAGCTTTTCTAGGAATTAGAGATTTTTTAGTTTTTTGTATTTTTATTTAGTTTCTAGTGATTGAAATTTGTTTGGCTGGAAGAAATGCTTGATCATTTTATAAGGTGTTGATCATAGATTGTACAGTGATAAAAAAAAAGTTGGTTTAATTAAAGTTTTTTTTTATAAATCGTTTTAAGTACACGGAAACTAAAAAATCATGGATTTTCAAAATATGACTTAAATTAAAATCGGATTACATTAGCAACGATTAATCTAAACTTTAATATTATCCTATTTTCCAAACTTACCATCTACAATAGTAGCAAACCCATTGTTTCGTTCACATAATAATAGTGTAAGCTACTGCGTTTTTAATTCGATATAAAATGACGTATTACACTTATTACAGTTTATATTATTAACAAACGCTGAGGCACGTAAATAATACATTTTATAATAAAATATTTTATTATATTCTAAGGAAAATAAATAATATACTTACATTGCCGGATAGTTCTCGGGATATGGAATGATAAATCCATCCGGGGTTATTCTCGACGATTTACCGGCCCAAAAATAAGAAGCTGTAAAAATAAATCACACACAAATTTAGTCATAAATATAATATTATGGGTA